TGGATGTCAGGCACCAAGCATGCAAAATGTGTCAATATTTCAGAGGCCTTTTTTGTGCAGAGCATTCTGTAATCACCATGAGACCAACCTGAGTGTTAAACACATGTGTGGCCAGCATGTGGGGAGATTTCATCCCTCCATGACCACTCTACATCTCTGCCTTCTTTCTTAAGCATTGGTGAGTAATCTTCATTTCCTTTTTAGTCATGCCAAAGAGGAAGCGAAACAGTGAGTATCAAATGATCAAAAATAACTCTTCAACAGTTTTGCTTTAAAATGTTAGACTCACATATGTGAGGCGGAATCTTAACGTATATTATCCCTACTTGCACCATTACATGGGTTCAACATTTGGAGCAACAACAAAAAACATGTATTTAGGTGTGGAAATGCATATTTGTGGGTTCTACTTCTAATATCCCAAATCCAGGAATATGCTATACTGTAGAGTTATGGAGATATTGACTGTTGAACAACATTGTATTAGTTCTATCAACTGATGCAGAAGAGTTTTGGACCACGTAACTTTAATTCCTTAAATTAGAGAATTCATTAATGCAAAGGTTAATATCTCTGAGAAGGTTTTACAACAATTAGCCTTCTCATTATGTGTTACACTAATGTGTATGAATTTTTTCACACTTGCACAGTGTAGACTAAAAAACTGTATTATCTGCAGAGGTGGGTAGAGCGCAGCCACCCCAGTTACGCAAAGAGAGACAGTCAGCCGTCATCAATAAAGCAGACATCATAGAAATGTTCTGTTCCAAACTATTCTGCATGAATGTTTATACTTTACTGTGAAAAGCTGCGATCAGGGCAGTTAGCGATAAGTTATAAAAGTCACATGATATGCGTTCAATAATCAGCTGGTCATTGCTCTGGAGGGCTATTTTGCTAAGAAAACAGATGAGTGAATGCTGGACAAATCCTTACCGTCACCCTTGTTCATACTGCTTAAAGAAGCAGCTAACACTGGACTTCTATATTAGGCAAAGTGTAACCAGTGACACAGTATTCAGCAGTAGAAACTAATAATGGGCCTCATTCACCAAACATTCTTGAAAAGAAATTTCTTCTTAAAACCGACTTACGCAGTTTTCATGAAGTTTCTGACATTAACCAATGTTTACTTATTTGGGATTTGTTCTTAGGTAAGAACAGAATCTACACACACTCAAGAGCACAAAGGTGCGAATCCTGTGGTTTAAGAACACGTCACGAATCCGACAAAGGCCTCTCTCAATTTTGAGAAAAACTTAGGAAGATATAAGTGAATGAGGCCCAATATTTTTCACTGAACCTTTTTCACTGAAGCAGGAACAAAGTCAGTTTGTGTAATGTAGGCCTAATATAAGCACAGAGGAACATCATTAACTGCTGTTTCATTTTATTTTTTCCAAGTAATTTGCCACCCCACCAAAAAAACTGGGTTTAACCTTGACACACCATTATAAACACTCTGGCTGCACCCCTGGAGCAGCCTATAGCAACACTTAAGTAAAAGTATTGTTACTTCTGCGAAATAATGATTCAAGTAGAAGTAAAATTACCTTTCCAAAAAAAACTATTTGAGGGGAAGTACAACAGCATCAGGGCAAAAAACCTACATATGTACTGAGTAACTTCTAGAACTGCAGTTCACCTACTCAGTACATTCAGCAACTATCAGCAGAGGAACTGAAGTTTGTTAGGCTCTGTTTTTCTATTCTGCTATTTTTGAGATCATTTTGATCCAAAGTCAAAAGTGGGAGCGACGGTGAAGCTGTCCAGATGCTGTTACCAACAGAACAAAATTAAACACACAAAATGAATTAGTGACTAAATGTTAATGACAGTAAATAGAATATTACTTTCCTCACAAATGTAGTTAGATTTACAAGAATTATCACTAAAAATACTTAAATTCATTCATATTTGGTTTAACTGAGTAAATGTAACTCCCACCTGTGTGGATTAGGAAAGCTATGACTGTACAGAGCTTCAAAACAGCAGTTAGTTCAGACAAACTTCAGTCATGGAGGACAAACCTCTAAGTTGTAGCATTTTCACACTCCACTGTCACAAGCATATAACGGCTGCCTTTATGAATGAACCATTGTATTTCTATGTGGCACAAGATATAACAGAGGTGATTCGGGAGCTTTATGTTGTGCTCTTGAACCTCCGTCCAGCACAACGGCTTTATGCACTTCCTCACCACCTGCTATGAGTGAGAGAAGGAACAATAAGAACTTCCACCTCGAATGGGCTATAAGTGGACAGCAAACAGGGGCTATTCCTGAGTGGCCTTATAGTCAGGGCAGGAAAGAGGGTTCACACCAGCGGTGGAAATGATCCAACAGGCCGGATCTCAGTGTTTAGAATGGGATGTGAGGGAGTCAAATCACTTTTTTGTCGCTTTGGTGAGACTCTTAGCCTTTGGTTCTTTTCTCGTTCACAAAAAAAGCAGCCACATTTGAGCCCACTGTTGTTATTGCAGTTTAAGGTCCCTGAGGAGAACGGAGCTCAATTACAGCGTGCTGTTGACAAAATGTTTTTTTAAAAAGTGACAACATTCAAAATTCCTCCCTTCGAAAGTGTCTGTGGAGGATATCTGTAGTCACAGTGGAGCTCTAACGTCTCCCGTATTAACAGTCAGAGCGTGTAGCTGCCTGCTCCGGAATCCGCTCTCACTCACTCACCCTCCCCATAAACATCAGCTCAAGTTCACGTCTCAAAGTCCAAGCAGACTCGCTGCAGTCATGTGTGTGTGTGTGTGTGAGGCTCAGACGTGGTTTAAAAAAAACAGAAAGGACGGTTTACCTGTTGAGTTTGAGAGCGAACGCCCTCCGGTCTGAGGCTGGCAGGGTGGCCATAGCGGCTCAGTCCGAGAGCTTCACGGCCCCGCGGCGTAGAAAAATCCCGAGCGAGGAGCAGATGTCATCGCAGGCAGCATCTTTCACGCTATCAGTGGATTTCTGGGCGGAAACTTCCGCATCTGAACTCCCCAAACACTCTCAACAGACTGGACACTCGCTAGAGAGAGAGAGAGAGAGAGAGAGAGAGAGAGAGAGAGAGAGAGAGAGAGAGAGAGAGAGAGAGAGAGAGAGAGAGAGAGAGAGAGGATAAAAGCGAGCGCGAGCGGCTTTGGCTCCTAAAGTCTAGATTTGTATATAGAAACCACGAAGTCTGCATAAATCCGCGAATCCTCCACTGACCCTGCAGCATATGCGGCTTTTATTCACAGGGATTATTTGAATGACGCCTTTTCTTCCTTTTATTTTTACACTTTCTAGTCAGGAGTGTGAACCCGTGCCATGTTTCTACGAAGCTCAAGTCAGCTTCTTTTTCACCAGCTTCTTGTTCGAAGTTTCCCGTTCCACCTTAAATGGTGCCGCAGCTACAGACTGGTGCTATTCTGGCCTGAGGCGCCAGAATGGAGCTGCTGCACCATTTAAGGTGGAACGGGAAACTTCGAACAAGAAGCTGGCGACACCTAAAAAAGATGGTTCTCCAAGGGTTATTTAGTAAAGGAAATATTTCTATTTAGACCCCTAAGTTCTAGATAGAACCTTTTCCATGCTTTAATGGTTGTTTTACAGGGTGAATTTGTTCTTGTATATGGTTCTATATAGAACCTTATTGAAATTATGTCTTTGGTATGTATGTTAGATGCCTTTGCTAAAGCACAAATCTAAAATGTTCCTTCATTCATTGCACCACATTTAGTCCTTTTGTCTTGTAGGACCGCAGACTTTTATCAGAAAAATTTTTTGTGAAGAAAAAAGTATGAAAAAAAGTATGAAAATAAAATACAAAAAAGAAAATTCAAATGAAGGTTGTTAGACGTGCATGCAAGGTTTGACTGTATCGAATTTCATCACTTTAGACAAATCAGAACACGTTCTGTCACATTTCTCTTGCTACGCTCCAGCTGTTGTGCCTGAATGGGCTTAACGACTGTACTAGTGAGTTGAGAGTGAATTACTGAGTGAGAAAGCGCGACCTCTGCCGGTGAAAACGACACTGAAAGTCTGTTTTGGTCTTTACTCGCGGTACAAATCCATTTCCCCCAAAGAAAAGTCTAATATCTGAGCAGTGCTTGCCAACACTGCTAAGGTCTGTTTTACAGGGTGTGGTTACGGATCCCCCGTGTCCTTTTGCCATAAAGAACGCCTTTCACGTTTAAATTCCACCCATTTTACAAAATTTCTGTGTATTTCAGTGGTTGAGATATAAACAGCCATTCAGACTGGTTTGATGTGAAATGGATCACTTGCAGAGAAACTTACTCACTCAGATTTCCTTACAGTGGGGGTGATTGGAACCAGGAGTCATGATGTCTATAATGCAAATGTAGCCAGTTTATTTACTATCCAAAACCACCAGTGAACCTACTACATGGGTCTTCTGCACTTTTACATATATTGATGAAGGTAAAATAACAAGTCAAAAGAAATAAATTGTTTCCTTTGGGGACTATTTTGTCTTAGAGCACCCTTCATGTATCCCTCCACCACGACTGGGTTAAAATAAATCAATTAAAATACATTTTAGACAAAAACTTTATCACAAAACTGCAGTAAAACAATGTCTTTGAGTATTCATAACCATGTCATAACTTTTTGTGAGGGAGCTTTTGGAGGTGGACTTCTGGTTCCCATCACAACCACTGTGAACAATTCTGACTTGGCAAGTTTCTCTAGAACGAAGCATTTCAAACGAAACCACTCTGATTCTCTTGACATGTTAACCATTTAATTACGCAGAAAAGTTGAAAAATCTGTGGTTTCCCTTAAAGCTGAGCATGATACGCATGGTAATGTGTAAAAAGTGGCCTAGTGGACAATGTCTCATTATACTGCTTCTAAAAGGTGAAGCGCAAAATTGCAAAATGCTCAGATTTATTGCTTCTATTAAAGCGCTCAGGCTTTAAAGCTCCGTTTAAGGACATCACCTACTGACAGACATGAAACACACCACTATACACACAGGCTTAGCTCACTCGAACAGAAACGAACACTTTGTATATCTTTATTTTATAATTTATACTCAGCTATAACTTAGAGAAAATACACAGAAATACAAAACAATTGGCACTTGAATAACAAAATTGTACAACTATGCAGTCAAACTAGAAAGAACAAGAAACAAAGATGATCCCAATCTGACTCCATATACACCATTCGAAAATCCTGACTAACTGAAACTGAGTAATCCAAACAGAGCTGATGATGACTGGCTAGTTAAGTTTATTTAAATGTGAATTCTGTAGATGTAAGCTGGAAAAAAAACAAATGTTCATGCAAACTGAGACAATATAGGTGCGGATGTACGCACAGGCCTTCATAAAGGTACATTTTCTCATTTATTAAATGAATCCATTTGAAACTGTAGATTTTTGACAGTTCTCAAAGATAATTTAGAAAAGCAATTCAAAAAGTACAATAAACAGCCATATTTTACAATATTTCACATTCTTTCAGTTAAGAAATACATACACATTAAAGATGACAACATTCTAACACTGACACAACCATAAATGACAAGCATGAAATACTGACTTAAATACATAATTGGTCAGACAGAAATAACGATGCAAAAACTCATCCTCTATACACTACTTAAATAATAATTTACTTAGTATGAATGACAAGATGCTGCCTTTTTTTCAGGAAGCTGCTTTATGTGTTGTTTTCCATCAATGTCGTGCCTCCAGTAGTTCACAATAAGTTTATACGTGTGCTGATTTCTCTCACATGCTCTTCCTCAGCTTCTCCAGGGCCGCTTCCTTCTCCTTCAGGAGGTCTTTGAGGCGTTTGATTCTTTCCCGTCTCTTTACTTCCTCAGGGTCCAGCATTATAGAGGAGTAAAACTCACTGGGCATGTTTTCACCCACACCAAACATTTCCCCAACTGAGGAAGAAGGTGCCTTCACGTCTTTTGGATTGTTTAGATCAAGCTTGGCTGCTTCCACATGACCACCTGTACCTTCCTCACAAGTCTTACCTGGCGTTGTGTCCCTTGAAATGCTGCTGCAGCATGTTTTTCCTTGTGAACTCAAGCCTGCTTGACTGACACTGTCTTGCTGCATTGCCAAAGAGGCAGCAGTCTGCAATGAACCTTCACCAGGTGTTGGATATGACTGACCGGAATGTACTGCTTCGTCCTCAGACTTTTCCAACTCATCATTTCTCATTGGTGGGTCTAAAACGGAATTCTCCAGTACTTTATCAACTGTATTGCAGTCTGTGTTTGACTCTGTGAAAACGCTTGCCTGTTTAGAAGGATCAACAACAGCAGCAGAACTTGTATTATTTTGAGGTTTGGATGAATTTGGTGTTATTACGCCGACCTTAGTTCCACACGGACATGCTGTGCATACTCTCCCACTGCCTTTGCTTTGTCGAGGTGGGGTCTTCCGTGACACAGAAGTACAAGCAGTACTGTCAGTATGACTCCATGCAGTCTGAATTTGTTGAGGCTGACATGAAGACGAGGAACAAAGTGGCTCAGCAGTCGGCTTTGCTACTTCAGAGGAACCACTGGTAGACAGAGTTTCTGACTCTGAACCTTGACAGCAAAGTAACACCTTGCTATCTGCACAGGCGTCTGTGGATGCACTTTGCATCTCGTCATCACAATTTACTGTACCCTCAGACTGAGGTGAAGAACTTTTGACACTGGAACAAGCAGAGTCCAAACAGGTCTTCTGCCCAACCTGCTCCAACCGTTTTCTCTTGGCATCTTCTGGGCCATCTTCCTTTTTGGGGACAGGCACCTGCAGACATACAGACACAATGAGCAACATACTGAATATATGGGTTGAACTTCTTTTATACAAAGTTTGGGTATGCCTTGTTAAATGAGACGTTTTGTTGATTTAGTTGATTTAGATCTAAGTACAAACAGGTTAACACAACATCTGCATAGAACAAATATAAATATGGTGCATTTCTACAAATCTAATGCATGATCACTATTTATTTGCTGGAGAAAAAACTAAAGTAAAATGTGCCATGTGCAAAAGTTGGAGCATCCTTTCAGTTGATGCAATAGTGCAATTTTATAAGATCTCAAAGCTTGTTGGACTCATTAGGCCTTAATTCAGGTCGGATGTCGACAACTCCAGAGCGTAATAAATGACTTTTTAAACAACTCAAGGTGTTGGGCTTACTCTCAACAGCCATGAGCTCATCTAAGTGTCCTAACTGAGGATCTGAAACTAAAGGCAATTGACTCTTACAAAGCCAGAGAAGACTATAAAATACCTAAACAATTTCCGGTTGTAATTTTCATTGTTAAAAATGACGAGATCAAGAAGATAAAAAAATCTCTTCAGAATCTGCTCACAGACTGGTCAGGTATGCAAAGCAAAAACCACAAATCTCTGCCAAGGACCTACAGGAAAATTTGGCTGACACATGAATAGTGATGCACTGGCCCACTGTGCAGTGTACTTGGAGTGACATCATCTTCACAGAAGGGTCATCAGAAGTTAACCTTAACTGTGATATCATAACAAAAGTCAATGTCTAAAGTATGCATAATAAAACACAGACAAACAAGAGGCATTTTGAAATCAGGTGTGGTGGTCTGATTAAGAAAAAATTTGGTATGTAAAAGTAGTACTATTTGATGAAAAGAACACCTTGCCAACTGTTAACCATGAGTGGATCTATTATGTATTGGGGTTGTGTGGCAGAAACTGGCACAGGAAAGTTTGAGCAAATGTGTGTAAAGAGAATGAAGAAAGGATTCTACTAAATATCAGTAAATCCTGGAAGCGAATGTCCTACAGTCAGTGAACGAATTGAAGAAGGAAATAAACTGGATATTACAACAAAACCAAAATCAACTACTAACAAAAGTTTAGAAATAAAAGCTTAATGTTTTGAAACAGCCTTCACCTCCTCAGACAAACTGTGGGTATATCTCAAATATGATGCGCATACAAGACGACCTATAATATTTCTGAACTTGAAGCATTCTACAAGAAAAAGTAGGGAAAAAAAAGAAAATCCTAAAACATGAATAGAAAGAATGTTAGCTGGCTACAAGAAACGTTTTGAGGCTGTGATTTCAGCCACACAGGGTCTTACTAAGCACGGATGGATGCACCAACATGTGTACATGCCACATTTATGTCTTTATTCTCTACAACATATCAAAGTCAGCAAATACATAATAATTGTGCATTACAATTTGAAGAAATATGTCATATTTAAGTTCTATGCAGAGGTGATGGTAATTTTTCTTACCTTAGAAAATTAACAAAATGTTGCCTTGGGGTGCCCAAACTTTTGCTTAAAACTGTATCATGTGGATGGCCTTACAGCCTTTGATTTGCCTTTGATTTGTTTCATTTTTATCCTTGTATATCACTGAATACTTGTTCCTGTTGTCACCTGATCTACACAAAAGAAGCAACTTCTAATGGTTGAAACGGGCATTTCAGTTTTCAGTCAGTATTAAAGTCAGGTTTGTTGGAATTAGGGGTGGGCAAAATGACAATATTTATCATTATTTTGATAAATTACATCACAATACACTTTCCTGAAGTAGCCTGCTCTAAAGCACAAAATTAGTATGCAACTTTTAGCTGATTATATTACAAAGCTGTTCTCACAGTGTTGCTGTAAACCACTGATCTCCAACCCTGATCCTGGAGAGCTGCCTTCCTGTGGAATTTAGTTCCAATCTGTATTCAATAAACTGCCCTGCCCCTTACTTAATTCTAATACATCTGATCCAGCCAATCTGGGACTTGGAAAGAGGTTTATTAGCTGGAATATGTGTGGCAAATTGTGGTTGGAACTAGGCTCAGCAGGAAGGTAGCTCTTCCAGTGTTGGAGACCACTGCTGTAAACACACAGAAGACAGCAAAATTCTTATTTTTCTCATAAACCATAATGAAAAACAAGCACTCTACATAACTATTTCTTTACATCCATTAATGGTTACCTATGTGATTAAGTATAAAAACAAAACTCACCTGTGCCTGAATCAGCTGTTTGATTTTTAACTCTATCTGTGATTCCCGAATCAGTTTGCGGATGCCCTCCAAAGTGCGTTTGTTGATGGACCTTCTCTCGGCTTGTGGACTCGACTCTTTAGCCTGATTTATCCTTTGCAAGCCAATTTTCAGATCAGAAGTAATCCCAAAAATCTGTCTGAGTTCAGAATCACTCTTTTGCTGAGGCATCTCTTCCAAGGCTGGTTCTTCCAAAGACTGTAAGACAAGAAATGTCACATTCACAGACAATATTTACTCTTAGGTATCTACTTGACAGCTTAATAAAAGCATCATGATAATCAGCTTTCATAACACAAATACAGAACATCATGAAAGAAACTGAGGCATATGCTGTCTCAGAGTGGAAACAGTTATGTACCGTATCGGACGCTGTAATCAAAGATCTTCAACAACATGCAATCACATTCACAAGTGCAAATATGTTCCTTTTACCTACCATTTCATTAACTGCTTCACTGTCCTGCCTGCAATGAATAACCGGATCAACCGAAATCTGAAAAAGCGCAGTAGAATATGCAAATACAATATTCAGTTGGGTGCAAATGCTGAACAGGATATGAATCAACTGCTGCTATGAATAAGACCTAACCACAACGATTACAGCAGGAGTATCTTATTGAAACATTACTAAAAGTTAGTCCTCAGATTTAAACTGAAAAACAAAACAGCACAACCTGTTTATTTTTTAGTTTATATTTTAGTTTATGAAGAACATGAAATGGTTACTGTACCTTTCTGGTTGCTTCTGTTCCTTGATCGCAAACTTCCTCTGGCTGTTCTGACGCAGCTCCCCCTCCATTCACACTCTCATGAGCAGCTACATTATCTTGACATCTACTGACATCAAGGTTAATCACAGGGCTGTTTGTACTGTTTGTTTCACAGCTTTGTTCCATGTTGCCTGCTTTGCATTCAAGGCTGTCCGTATCGGTCCCACAGCCATTCTGTGGAGCCGTCTCTGCAACTTTCTTGCAGGTCTCAGTGTCTGATTTTGGTGGAATGTATGACACAAATATTACATTGGAGTCTTCATCATTCTCACCTGCTGTTTCACTAAGTACCGTTAATCTACTAGATTTGGCACTTGTAGAGCTCTCTTCGTCAACTTCGTCGTCATCACACAGATCAATGATTTCGTTTGGCTTTTTGCTGACTGGAGTGTTTTTTGAGTCTTGCTTTGGAACCATATTGGAGGTGCATGACCCTGACACAACACTAGCAGGCTGGGCAGAATTCTTTACCTGCACCTTGCCTGTCACCCCGGAGATCAAATCCTTGCTAATCTCGGAATTTTTTTTAGCCACAAAGTAGACCTTTCCGTTACACATCACAAGGGCGTTGTCCTTTCCCGGACTAATCTTTTCTTGGGTGGCATTAGCAGATGTGGGTTCTCCTGCTGGAACTTGGTTTGTATGTCTCACTGTTTCAATTTGTCTAACTGCTTTCAAGATGTCTGTGGACATGCTGGGAGAAGACACTGGTATGAGGCACGGAGCAGCGTTTCCTGCCCCTTCTTGGATTATCCACTTCATTGGAGCGGAGGCTCCTTGATCAGCCTTGGGACTAGATGTAGAAGACACACTCAGGCTTTTCACATCAGTTATGGACAGCGTTTGAGCTAAGCTCTTGGGTAGTTCACTAGCTTTAGTGAGACCTGGTAACGGCTGATTGGGACCTAGTTTCAAAGAGTTGACTGGAGACACATAAACAACTGTTGGTAAACCTTTTGCAGGGTTAGACAGGGCACTTGAAGAGTTACATATCTGGCTTTTGATGGACTGTGGGAGTGCAGAGGCAGGGAGAGTTCTAACTGTAGCATTGGGAGGAATCTGAAGGTAATGTCCACTTGGAAAAATGGGTGATTTCAAAGCCGCAGGCTGCTGCGGACTGTTAATCACAGTTACAGTCTTGCTGTTATTTTGAGGGGGTAACTGCAATGCATTTTGTGTCAGTCTGGTAGTGAGTAGTGGGGCACGTACTTGATTGGGAGCATTTTTAAATAAGTCATTATCTCCTTGGTGTTGAATTTTCACAGAGTTAAATAAAATGTTGCTTTCAGGTGGCGTTTTTAAAATAAAACGTCCATCTGCTGTTTGCTGAAGTGTTGGGAGTTTGTTTTGCGGTAAAGATGCAGGTGATATGTGAGCAGGCTGAGAATAAACCTGAGGCTGACAGTCATTCCTTGCAGTAAGAACATGCGTCTGAACAAACTTCCCGTTCACCTTCTGAACCGGAATCAACTTCATAACATTTTTCCCATCAGGTCCCACTGCTGGCATTGCCTGGTAGTAAACTCCCGTTTTGCTGTGCAGAGAAGAGATATAAACCTTTTAATCGAAAAAGCTAAAGATGCTATGGTTTCTAACATTTCAGCTAGAAACACTGCAAGTCATCTCCGGCTATCATTTAATAACCACTTCTATTTGTCTAGTGTATCAATACCATCTAGATATGAGCATCTATCATTTAACGATACAGATATGAGTCTTAAAGTTACAGCAACCTGTTTAATAACCTGAATTAAGAATGCTTGAAAATGGTCATAAAAAATGACCGACGACTCTTTCTGCGTACCTAAAACCATATAATCATCATCAGAGGATTTCAGGAAAATATATAGCTAATGTAGTTAAGAAAAATGCAAGATAGGTGCGCTTTAATAGTAACGCCTGTTATGGTCACAGAATTCCGCTTGTGTTTTCAATCATGCCATGTAATGAAGGTCTAGTTACTACTGAATGATATTCTAAGCAATTACCAATAAACACGTACAAAGCTACTTACATATTAATCCAGATATTTCAACCCCAAATCACTTGCTCACGTTAGCTAGCTAGCTATCCAGTTAAATATAAGACAACAGCTAGCTAGCCATCACCCAACCAAGTCACTTAGATAACCTAGCTAACTAACCTAGCTTTGATACAATGTACAAATACAGAATACGGCAAAATCGAGAAAATTCATTTTGTGTCAGATTTACTGTAATATGAAGTTAATATAAGTAGAAACAGTCAACAGCTAGACCTTATCCCTTACACCACCAACTTAGCTAAGCTAGCTAACCTAGGTTCCCTAGCTAATAGCGGAAAAGATGAATTCACATTACCGTTACTTATTTGTTCATTCGTAGCACATCAGGCTGCTGGCTAATAACTAAATCAACATTTTCTGAGAGCCAATGCTCGTCACACTTTAACCAAATATTACCAGTTACTTTTACTTGGTTACCGTTAGCTGTCCAGCTCGGCCTGCCAAAACAAACGCCATTTTAGCTAGTTAGCTACCTGCTTATTACAACTACACTGAAAACATGCGCCTTGTAATATCTATATATGTAGTTGAAATACTTACTTCTCCATTATGAAAATACATTCCACTTGAAAGATTAATTTTTAAAAATACTTAATCGTTCACACATTTCTTTAGGTACGCTATTGCGTTTCTCCGGCTGTGAAGCCGAGCGGAAGGACTTTTGTCGTAATAAAAGCCTGTTAATCTCACAAACGTTAGCGGCAAAAACTTGAAAGAATGACACTGAAAATGTACGTTATGGCGCTAAGAACTACAGAAAATCTTCGACGTTTCCCGCGATTCACTGCTCATGATTTGAGTATGTAAAACTAGCTCTTTTAAAGGTTATAAACTGTGTTGATCTCTATGGCTCTAGTCTGCTAGAGCTGCATCTCCTCAGATTCGCCAAATCAGCAGCAGCAAGACATTTTATTTACAGGCGCCTTTTTAAAATATAGCACCCTAAAAACTGCCATCAGTGCTGTTGTAAAAGTAGGGTTGGTTGATATGGCAAAACAGACAAAAACGCACTAGTAGAGCCACATTTTTTTTTTTTTAAATGCATTTTATAAATTAATGCATTTTTTAAAATCAAATTGAACATTTATTAGCCAAAATATTTTGTAGTTTTGTAGAAATATATTTTATACTTCTTCATAATGCTAATCCAGCTAAATGCATTCCCAGTTTCTACATTTTACAAATATTTATATATCAGCAGTGGCAGATATGTAAATACAAAAATACAGTTTATCGGCATCAGCCAAAAATACAGATATCGCTGTATCTCTACAAATACTATTAAATCTAGGAATAAAATTATTTTTTATTTGTTTCACATACTGTGCAGCACTAGGCTCAATCATGCTCTCTTTGTAATAAGAGTATTGATGATAACCATGATACACTTAGTAAAGTGTATTGTGTTGTAATATAACAATTTATAGAGATACACAATGATGTTGGGAATTATATTTGTATTGGCCACTAGATTTTACAAATTTTTCAAATCAATATATGATGACATACCTATTCTAAAAATAGCTAAAATGCCTGCATTTCATTACTTTTACTACATTTGTAAACCTCTAGATATATTACATTTGCCTGTAATGCTAATCTAGAATGATTTAATCAATATTCCTACATTCTATAAATGTTTATGTATCAGCATCGGCCCACTGCATCCCTAATAATTTATCGCAATAACAATTAATATTGCCATTTTGCCCACCTCTACATGAAGCACTGCATCTCAGAAGACCATGCCGCATTAACACAGTTGTTAGATATCATCAGAAGTGTGAATTTAACCAGCTTTTATTTCTACAGTAAAAACACATAAATTCAACATAGTAGCAGCACCACTGGATGACATGTACATACTGTTTGTACATAGATCTGGGTTTCTACTTGCCCTTTTCTACCCAGGCAAAGAAATTACATCTAGCCTCTGGATTGGATGCATGACCTTGAGGGCGGGCACATACAAAAAACTGCCGGCCCAAATTAGGCCCCGCTTTTTTCACAGTTCGCAGCACACAGGGCTCGTTGTGTTCCTTACACAGTGGCGGCTGGGGTGGTCCACGCAAAACTGCTTTCCAAAAGTCAGGACACTTTCCTTTCTTAGAGTCCTTTGTCTCTTGATGGCTTGTGGCTTTGATTTGGATATCATCCTCACAACCTGGTCCTTCAGTATTTAGCCTGGTCTCCTCAGTGTCCTCTCTGACCTCTGTGAGGCAGTCGGTAAGCATGTCATGGGTTACATTGTAGTCCGTAACATCGTTTGGTTTAGGTTTGTGGATGTCAGGCCCAGAGTCTTCACTTATTAGGCTGCTGCAGTTAGCTGGTTTTGCCCTTATCATGAAGCTCTGGCTGGAAGGTATTTCAGGGCTCGGTTTAGGTTTAAAGAAGGCCAAAAGGCTACCCTGAGGTTTATTTGCAGTTTTAACTTGTTTGCTTCGTTTCCCCTTAAAGGCAGATGACTCCGGAGGTCCATCTGAAGTTCTTTTCTTCCCTGCACTCATCCCCTCTGCTATAGGACCGACGTTCTCACGAATCTCCCCAGCCTCCTGAGATCCAGGTAGACTTTCTGCAATGTCGCTGGAAACGTTTTGTTGCTCAGAAACTTTAACAAAAAAGCGTGAAAGTTTCTGCTGCCTTCCGGCAAACTCGGGCATGTAGCGGGTGCACAGAGACGGACACTTGGGACTGGGTATGAGGGTACAGCTTAGCTGTGCCCACACGGGGCAGTGATCAGAACCCTCCACCTCAGGCATTATATCTGCACTCAGGAAGCTTTTCTCCACCAGTGAACAACTGCCAAAGATGTAGTCAATGCGCGTGCCATAATTGGTCTGCCTGGCGCCTGTAAGCGTAGACCAGCATGTGAAGGCGTTTGCACGGGTTGGATGGAAATGTCGGAAGGTGTCCACAAACTTCCCACCGGCCATACATTTCGGAGAGGTCTCGGAATCTTCCACCTCTTCTTCATTTCCATTTTCTGCTGACCCAAACAGAAAGCTGTCCAGCCACTTTCTGCCTGGATTGTCCTCAAAGTTATCCTGGGTGACATGACAAACATAATAAACATAAACATTCTGAGAGATATAAGAACATTAATTTCAATGGCTATGATGTGGCCAACAACAAAGAAACAATTCTAAGTGTTTACACCAATGACTAGGTTATTACATTTTGTTCTTAGGACAGTATGGGCCTGTGTCCATAATCATTTTCAAATGCTATGAATACCTCTGAATGCAAGACGACTACGGCTATATAGTACGGAGTACTCAGACACTTACCACATCATCGGGGTCACAGTGGTCTATGGGCCGGTGAGATGTGTTGATGTCCCCCAAAATGATCACATGACTTGAAACAAAAAAAGCAATTAAACAATCCAAATGAAAACTAATGAAAACAATGCTAATCTAGAGAAAGCTAAGCCAGAAAACACTCTGTTTAGATTAAATTATCAGGAGATTTCTGTAATACATTTTTATTCTCCTCTGTGATCAAAACCTTGCATCTGGATAGCAACAAGGTTACCATGAGACATGCAAGCTTCTAGTGGGTTGTATTTTCTACAAACTCAGAAGTTTGTGTCACACTTGGTCATATGATCTTAAAAAAAAACATAGGACACTGAATCATTTACAGTTCTATTTATTAATTTGTCAACTTTTAAAACAAGATGTTTATGGCGTTAGTGATACAACTGGTCATTACTTGTAGAGAACTGAAATGTGAAGACATTGCGTATATGTGAATATAAAGATTTTTTTTATTTATAATAGTTTGCATCCATTGTTTCATGATTTAAGAAAAAGTTCAACAAGTATATGCACTGTAGGAGACCAAATGTGCATCAAGTTCTAGTGAAGACTAGTGAAGCGCTCTCACCCACTTTAACACTAATAAGTGAATGTCATGCTCACCTCCCAGGCCCCTCAATGGTCTCAGCTCTGCTCTGGAGGAGCTTGTAGAACTGCAGCTTGAAGAGCTTCCTCTCTGGCTTTTCTGGATCTGCACGTGGGCAATACACATTAATGACAGTCAATGTCTCTGATCCTTCTTCTCCCCTGCAGGAAACACATCAACATGCAAACAAATTTCAGACTTGTGGCAGTCAGTAGATATTCAATGCAAATCAGCTGAAATGACAGTAAATGGGTGATAAAAACAAAATTTTATGAGAACACAAACTGTTTCCCCTGAAAGCTTACATAAATTTGTGCTGAGTTATGACAGCCCTTCCTTCACTGTCTAGTGACTGCAACTCCTCGGTGGAGAATGCACCTTGGTCACCATAGCAACCAACAGCATCTCCATTGCTGGCAAGAAGACCCGTCAATCCTTCTTCAGCAGCAAAAGGTGTAGCAGCGTCTTTACAAAAGGTTGCAACTCCTGTACATTTAGCATTGCAAAGTGAAGAAAAATAATGGAAAATAAAACACGATTCAAATCTAGTAATGCCAGACAGCTGAACACTCCACAGAACTCATGACCCATACCCATTACATACACAATAAATCTGATGGTTTTACCAAAATTAACTTAATCTGAATGAATACCATTACTGCACTAAATATTATGTTTAGCAAAGGACCCATATTTGTTTCATTTGCTTTTTTTTTACTGATTTAGAAAGCATCAACTTCTTAAAGGGTCCCAAAACACCCAAATCTACCTTATATTATAAACAAATAGGGGCACAGCATAAAATATACAACAAAGCATTTATTAAGCCATGCCTTTAGGACTGATATATGTAAATGACCTATGTTCTGACTGGCTGCCCTGCATTGTGCCTCATTCAAAAAGCAGCCTGAACTGAAACACCCCTTATAACTTCAGTAAGAATGGGCAGGGCTACTGCAAAGAAATATTATGGTAAACCATTATTGTACATACTTGCATGCATCTATATAGAACCCTTTTGCATGCTTAAATTCTTAGGTTCTTTGCATGGTGAAATGGAGAATGCGTTGCATATGGTTCTATATGGCATCAAAAAGGGTTCTGCTATTGGTACAATGTCAAGCTTGTCACAATAGAAGAACCATATAGAACCACTGTCAAAAAGGTTCTATACAGAATCATATACAACACATTCTTCATCAATTTGAAAAACCATTGCACCAAGCACGCAAAAGGGTTCTATACAGAACTCACGGTTCTAAATAGAACCACTGCCTCCCCGTAAGAACCCTTGAAGAACCATCTTTCTTTAAGAGTGCAGTACAGTGCATGCACATGAGTACTCAATCCCCTCAGCAGCTGCTTAACCAACCCGAGTAGCCACTGCGTCCTCGACTGAAACTGAAGTAGGAGCTGTAGCCGTCTACAATCGCGGTCCTCTCATCCAGCAGGTCGCCTAACGGAGGGAGAGATTTATCAGCGTCTCTACTCACATGTCTAACAGCGTGCAGTTAGCTAACAGTCTGAGGCTTCAGGACCTCCTTACAAAAGAGACCACTTACGGGTGACTTTTGTTTCCTGAACGCAGATTATGTCGGCGTCGAAAGAGTCGAGCGCCTTCTTGATGCCATTTTTAAAAGTTCTTATGCCGTTTATATTCCAGGTGACAATCTTCATGACTGTCTAGGCGCTGTGGACAGTTTTAGCCACTTTGCCATTAGCCTCCAGGAGCGCGCAGGAAGAGCTACCCGCAGCTCTCGCGAGATAAAAATAAGGCGCGCGCTCTCATTGTCGTGACGAAAAAGCGGGTTATTGTTTTATGCGTTTATTTGAAAAAAGACACAAATTTAAGTGACTATACATGAACGACTGGGGCGAATCGCCGGTCAATTCATTATAATGAATGAATAATTAATAATTTTTCGGTCCTCTCTCCAAAGCTAGAGCTGTAAAGCTTTAGAGCTTGTGGTGTGCAGGATGGTTGGTGTAGCTTGAAAACTCGTTCTGTTGCCAACCAGTCGACTTCTTTACACATTCTTGAATATTAAAAAGGTGAGATGTCAGCGTGTTTGGTGAAATCAGATTTTAAATTATGATTACGTTCAAAACAATATTGTCAATGAGAACAGACGCTGAATGACAAGCACCCTAATTCATGATAGTTAAACCCGATTGGCTTCTGTCACTCAGATGAAGTTTATTCATAATACTTTATCTGATGTCCCACTTTTGCTGAATTCACCCCAGTGAATCTGAAGGCTCTATAGCTCAATCCTAATCCTGGAGATTTACCATCCCGCAGATTTCAGCTCCGATCCTAATCTAACACTCCTGATCCAGATAATGAGGACCTTCAGGAGCATCTGAATATTGCAGTGGGTGGTGGGTGTTTCACACAGCAGGATTTCTCAGTTTAGCCAGGTAATTTAAGCCCATACTCAAGTCTGCCGAATAGGAAAAGAGCTGAATAACATTCCAATTGGACAGCCCTTATCGTTTGGCTTAAAGGGGAACTCCACCAATATTTCAACATTTTTGCATAAGTAAATGCTAAACATGTAAACAAAATCATTCAGATTGGTTTGGTGCGAAATGCTCCGTTAGTCAGAATTGGAACCAGACATCTAAGGAGATTAACGTCTCTAAAAGCTCCCTCACAGAAAGTTGTAACAGATATTATTTTAGGGTAGTTTTGTGTTTTAATCCATTTATTTATATATATTTATATCTACTCAAGATGAAGGGATACATAAAAGGTGTTTTATGACAAAATAGTCCCTGAACTTATTTTTTCCGATTGCCCATTATTGTACTATCATGAATGTTACATTAAACTCAGAAGACAGGTGTAGGTTCTAGTGATTCTGGATAGTAAATAAAATGGCTATATGCATTGTAGACACCAGATCTCCTGGTTCCTGTCACACCCACTGTAAAGAAATCTGAATCTGTATGTTTATCTGCAAATGAATCATTTCACATCAAACCACTCTGAATGGCTTTGTTTATATCTTAGCCACTGGATTAGACAGAAATAAAAAAAAATATCAGTGGAATTTCCCTTTATTTGGCTAACTGAGAAATCCCTGGAGGCCCACTGCCCTGTACTTTTTAGTGTTTTCCCTGCTCCCAACACACCTGATCCAACTAATCAGCCCATTATTTAGGTAAAGTGGGTGTGCTAAAGTGCAATTCCACCACTTTTTCAGCTTTTAGAGAAATTAAACTCTTCATCTGACAGGGTTCCCTAGAACAAAGCATTTCACACCAAACCAAATCAGAATGAATGACTTTGTGTACATCTCAACTATTTAACAATATAGAATTTTTGAAAAAATTGGTGGAATTCACCTTGAAGCAAAAACACTAAAATATGCAGGGTAGTGAGCCTCCAGGACCAGTGTCGAGAAGATTACCAAAAGAAGAATGAGCTAGATAAGTGTTTCCCAACCCGGGTCCTGTCCCGGAGACCCACTGCCCTGTTTTCTAGAGTTTTCTCTGCTCCCAACACACCTGATCCAACTAATCAGTCATTAACAGCCCATTATTGAGTTAACGTGGCTGTGGTAAGGCAGGGAAAGCACTAAAATGTGCAGGACACTGGGCCTCTAGGACCAGGGTTGAGATACGCTGAGCTACATGAATACTATAAGCATAAAATGCAGTTGTATAATTTGGTAAGCCTCTGAATCTTTATACCATATTTGCTGGCTCTAGCCTGGAATTCACGAAGCATCATAAAACTTTCAATGAGAGTGGAAGGATGAAAGAAAAGATATCAGGATTAGATATCGCTTTGGGTCAACAGTTAAATCTGAATACCAAATTTGATGGCACTGCTTTGAAAATTCAAGTAGTATCAAACCCAATGATTTCTACTGGAGGATGGAGGTATGGAAAAAGAATTGATTAAAGAGGCATGTAGAAAAACAAAGAGGTATATACATACATTAGGACAGCTTAACTAAGTATACCAACTTTTGTGGTTCTAACTTGTAAACTATAAAACCAAGGAAATATTGAAATATATTTTGAAGTTTGTGGAGGGAAATGGATGGACAGAGGGAAAGAAAGAGGAATGTGATTAAATGAGCTTTCAAAAAAGGACAAGCAACATGAGTGGGCAAAGGATGAAGGTTTCTTAAAGTTAGAAAAGTCCTACCAAGCTTATAGTGTAATGAAAATAAAATGGAGGTTAAATGTAACTTTTGGGACAAATAAATTCAAAGCCAACTGCTCTTGTTTAAAAAAATAAAATGTCTACTTTGCAAAAGATGTCTGCTTTGATGAGCTTACACTGAGAATGGGAATAATTAAACCTCCCAAAAGGATACATGCACAAAAATAGACAGATTCTGCCCCACTTGCTCTTATCAGTCTTGATCTCAGTGTTTACTGGAAGGAAGGGTTTGTACACTCTCCGTGCAGTGGTGGATGACCAGAGGAGTCAGTGTTACGTGTTCGCATGTACAGTCGCACACTTTACTCACCGCTGCTGCCCCAAATTAAACAACAGGATTTTACTGCTGGGCCGAGACACACTGCTTCAGACCTGGTGATCGTTACCAAACCTACAGGTACATGTTCATACATATCTTTCATTTATATAATTAATTTCATCCATAGAAAATTTTGTAAATAATTTGTGTGTAAATAAGCTACAGTCTACAGTGTCAACTTCCACACATATGTATGTAATAAATATAGAAGTGATCATTCTTCTTGTTTTAATTAGGGTGAACAGAAAAACATTTCAACCTTTTTAAATATATGTTCTTCTACAGTACATGAAAATTTTCAGATGGCGTGCTCCTTTATAAAGTATAGCACGATCTACACGAGTGATAGTCCAAGACTTTCAAAGTGGTCTAACGGAAAGCAAAAAAGATGAAATGTATTTTTCTTTTTAAATCTAGAATGGAGATCAAGGTGTCTGTTGAAGGAGTCCAACGCATCGTTTGTGGAGTCACAGAAAAGACCACGTGTCAAGAAGTAGTCATTGCTTTAGCCCAAGCTCTGGGTAAGTGAATGGCGGCTTCTTCAAGAAATAAGCATCTCAAGTAAGAGCACTAAAGAAAGACCACTAAAGAAAGACCAACAGGGTAACTTGTGGGAGGACGAACTCCTGCTCTTACTTTTCCCCTGATGTAATGATGACAAACATTGAAATTTATTGAACCCCTATGGTATAATTAGTACTGAAATTTAATCTGGATCTCCATGTTGCTGAGATTTTTTGGGGTCAATGGATCTATTTTTTGTCACTGAAAAAGTAAATTATAATAATAATCTAATTATACAAATGTTATGTAATCTTCAGTAATGCTACGTGGGGTCCTCAGGTGTTTTAGGTCTTAAAACCCTAATGCAGTTAGACAAAAATCAAATGGTGTTTCTTAATTTAAATATGTATTCCTGCCTCATCTTCAGAGATGTACCCAACACAAGAAAAAAAGTTTGTTGCATGCTTGTACCATGTCACCAGGTCACAGCAAAATACAGCAATGATTTTATTGACTTGTGCAATATCAAGCCAATCTACATGAATTAGGGGTTTTTGTCTTCTCCCACAGGGCGCACTGGACGGTACACTCTGAGGGAGAAGTTCAAAGAGTATGAGCGCAATGTGACTCCTGATGAGCAACTGCTGGAGTCTCTGGAGAAGTATGGTCAACAAGCCAGGGAGGTCCAGCTCACCCTGCAGCATTTAGGGCCCTCTCTAGGGGACTGGACAAACAAGCCACGGGCTCAGTTGAGACGGGCTGAGGGTGGGGGAAGGGTGCGGAGAGGCAGCGGTGTAACCAGCCTATATCGGCAGAGTCTGCCACCACTGTCCCGTCTACGGCTCCACTCTGAGCCACCCCCCGAAGAAGTGAAGAGACCAAAAAGGAAATCGCTGACGCTAATGGAGGAAGCGTGGGGTTGGCTAGAGAATCTGGGAAGGGGTGGGAAGCAGCAATTAGGACATGATAAGGGGAAAAGCAAGGAGGACGATAAAGGAGATGGCCCTAGGGATAAAGCGGTGGTTAAACTGGGCAAAATTCCTCCAGACTCTGGGGAACGACAGGGAAGAGACAAGAAAGAGAAAAACAAAACTGAAAACCAGAGCATAATCGGTTGCCTTAGAAAACACAGAAGAGAGGATAATGAAAATGAGATATGTGGAATAAAAGAGGGTGAACAACATAAAAGTCATCAAAAAGATCAAGGCTTTGATACTCCGGATCAAGATGGAGTAACTCAGCCACAAGACAAGTCCTTTAAAACAGGGAGGGACGAGGCAGCAGAACTGAGAAGGTTGATCATCCAAAAACAGGCTAGTCTGAGAGAACTTAAGCTCAAAACCAATTTGGTTGATGAGCAGATTGGCCAGCTTGAAACACAACTTGCAGAAAAGCAGTCAATTGCAGAGGATTCTGAGGATGAGGAACAACTTGAGTTCTGGCGCAATGAACTGAAGGCGGAAGAGGGGTACGAGAAAGACTTGCAGAGGCAGTTCCTAGAGCTGAAGGAGAAAGCTGCAGAGTGCAAAACCAAGTTAGAAGAATATAAACACAAGTTGCAGCGAATGGACCTCACAAACCTGAGAATTTCTCAGTGCAAACAAATGCCAGAGCCACATGATGAGGCCCCTGTCAAGATGGCCAAATCACTTGAGCTAGAAGGCTCAGAATCAGCAGGAGAGAACACAGTGGCTGATGACCCAAATGGAGACAGTGAGCAGAATGTGGTCACCAGAGTGGAACCCAAACTCCCTTACGTCTTAGTATCTGCAAATCAGATAGCAGAGTCACAACTAAATGGGCCCTCAGAGCTAAGGGAATGGTGGTCTCGATGGACTGAGGCGCAGAAACCCAACTCAAACTCAAGATCTACGTTGAAAGCTGTACACCGCTCTGAAATAACAATACACCTTGCGAGCACAAGGGTTTAAGAAATTCAAAAAACTGGGTGAAAACTAGGCGACACTATCACAGACTCAAAACTGTTGAAGGGTACTTGTTCTTCAAAAGGCAGCTGCACATTTGCATGCCTAAGTGGTTCTTTGCATAGTCAAAGGGTTCCATTATTGTTAGTAGCCAAAAGAACCCTTTTTGCTAAAAGTGTATAAACTCATCTACAGGCATTCAAATGTTTAACTACCTTGTAAACTCTCTTACCAATGGCAACTAGGGTAGGCTTTGGTTTGAGTTTTTTTTGGAAAAGTTGAATTTGATAGATATTTAGGGGAATGCAAGTTAAAAGTGAGCACCCACAGTGAAGCATCAGTGTTCTACAAATACAAAACCTGTATTTATTGTGTTTGTATTCAGATTCAGAACTGTTAACAGATGTCATGCATTAATTCAAATAAAAGATTGTGTAAAGCAGAAACGACCACAAATTTGTCAACTGAAAACACCACAAACTGGGCTTCTATTCACGAGGAATGATTTTCATAAAACGTTTATTTCAATTGTTTCATTCAAGACCATTAACAAAAGTATAGAGGAGAACCTGTGGTTAACAGGAACCCAGTGATCTCCAGAGAAAATTCAGAACAGTAATATTTTGATTTTCAGTAAGAAGCACAGCAAATAGTCTCTATCCACATTAATTGAAATCCTGATCTTTATGATTTCAAATGGAACCTTTTGTATCGTTTTCCTCCTTTTTATTTCTCACATTAAAGCAAAGTTGTGTAATGTTTTTTTTGTTTTTAACCTCCCACTAAGTAAAAAGCACACATTACATATAGCATTTTTCATCCATGGGTACTTGGGATGCAGACCAGTATTAATTCTACTTGGAGGAGAAAAGCCACCCTAAGATTGTTCTTGTATTTTGGCGACTGCCGGCTGGGGATAGAGTATACGTCTATTGTCTTTTTTTTGTTTGTTTGTTTTTTGTTTTTTTTTGTGTTTTTTTGTTTTGTTTCATTTATAGACTTTAGGCACCTTATTCTTACTTTTATTTCTCATTAGCAGACAGTGAGTTTAAATAGAATAATAAAAAAAGCAAAAGTATGGTGTGCAAAGAAAAAAAAAAGAAAGAAAAAAAAACATTGTATAAAAGGACTGCGGGATACAGGATGCCATTAGGAATTCTGCACCTGACAAACATGGAAGTTTGAAGTCAAGGATAGTTATAAAATAAACTCAATCAACTCAAACTTAATTAAAAAAAAAGAAAAAAAAAAACTAAAAAGGTCATTCACACAAATGGTACACATAAGCAATCTGAGCCTAGAGCAGTGTTTCAAATGCAAGTGGTTGCAAAAGCTGTTCTACACAACAGAACAGGAGAAAAGACGGAAAATCTTGTGAAATGCACCTAACATCTCTCCAGAGGAAAGGACTTTATCTGGAAAAGAGATGCTCAACAAAGTGAATAAAGTTTTCCAGTAAGTGGACAGAAAGAACAAAATTAGAGAAGTGGAAGAAAATACAACTCACCAAACATCTCACTCGCACTGCCACAAGGGAATAATACAAATCATGAAATAAACAGGCGCAGAATTCCAGACATTTTCACTTTGAGCCCAGATGGGAACAGATTAACCATCATACTGTCTCCACACCAGATTTTCACAGGTGTTGGAATCACAAACCCACTTTTCTTTCTCCAACACCAACACGTTCCATTCCCTCAAACGTTTATTTTAAAAATACTTGATACATAACTCACAGAAAACACACATACACTCACACAAACAGGGAATTCTCAATGATAAGCTCGCAAACACCACAATGACATGAAAGGTCAGGTGAGATGAGTGGGTTGTTTTGGAAGGGATTCTGGGACAGGGAGAGAGAGAATGTGCATGCTGATTTGTGTGTGTGTGTGGGGATGTGTGCATGTGCGTGTGAGAGATTCCATATGTCTTATTGGTGTTTAACAGTGCAAGTCCCTTCCCTGTCCTTTAGTCTTGATTGCTTCTGTTCTCTGAGGTGCTGTTGTCATTGTGGAGAGGGAGGAGCAGCGAACAGTAATCACTCAATCACGCTGACCTTGCAAAGCTTCCTCTCCACATTGAAGCCCTTGAAAGAAAGAGAAATTCAATATCAGTTCACCAACAAAAAGCATATTGGGGGACGGGGGGCACAATCGTCCAGAGAACTGAAACATTCCATTCATACAAGAGGACCGTTTTGGTGTTTTAATACAAGCATTAAAGCCAAGATAAGCAAAATAAAACATTTAAAGAATGTCTACCTTTGAGTTATCAGGACCCCGGGGCTGTCTGATGATCACCAGACGTGGGGCACTGGCATCGTCTAAAGTGATGCTCTTCAGACGGTTCACCAATCGATCAGGTCGAGGGGTTGCCACTGGTTTAGGACACTCGCTGGATTGGAAACACAAACAATGAGCTTTCAAATGGATTCAACAGACTCGTTATAGGTTTTCCATATGTATTCTACATAAATTTCTATAAAAATAAAGCAGCAAACAGGCAAGAACGCTGGTCAAAACCTTAATACTGGTCTAGTCAATTTTGCTTAGTGGAATTTTGCTTAGTGGTTTTTATACGGAGCTAAAAGCGCCTTAATACATTTCTACCTCAATTTTAACTGCCCTATTTTTTCTCTGCCACCCTAATAAAACAACTCTGTCTGATCGGGCCTCGCCATTGTCAAAGTTTTCCATTACAATGATGGAATACAATGGTAGTGTCATTTAGGAATGGAGACTGCACAGTGCTGATCTTAACACTTTGTATATAAACTTTCACTACTTATTTCTGTTAATTGCTTTTCATAACTACATTACCTTGCAGCTTCAGTGCTAAACTAAAGAAGGCAACATGTCTTAGGCAAGTACACTTAAGTTACATGGAAAATTGTGTACATTTTTTGCCAAACTACCATGTTAAAACAGAGAAGTCACATATTAGAATGTATATTACAGCATTAATAATCAATTCATACTCCAGGTACCTAAAACAGTTCACTTCCACATTAAAAGGGATCAATGCAGACCTGACTCTACGGACATTGCAGGCACTGCACTTCCCAGTGCGCTGGTTCAGGATGACTGAGAACTCCACCTCATCTCCAGCCTGAAGTTCCAAGCCATCCTGCACTTCCTTCATGTGGAAGAACAGCTTCTTGCTCTCGCCTACTTCATATGTGATGAAACCAAACTAGGAAAAATCAAGAATTCAAACCATGTTATGACATGGCAGGTAGTATAATCTATAAGAGTGTAAATGTAAATAATTGTACTCAAGCTAAAGAAAATGTTCAATATATTTCAGCACCTGGTCTTTAACACACTCCACCAGAGCCCTGCGCTGTGGGACAACACTGCAGGCCATCCTCTGTCCTGTCTGCGGTACGGTGCACAACTGAAATTTCACCAGCTCCCCCTTCTGCAGGCAGTCCCCTTTGTTGGTCATTCCCACAATGCCAAACGGATAATTCTGACCCTTACTTGATCCTGATAAGATTAAATCAAAAGAACAGATGAGGAAAAAAAATAAAATAAAATTAATTACACCAGTATAATGAGAGCCTAATAAGAACTAGGTCCATAAAGCTTAAAACAAAATGTGCAAATGTTACTTAAGAGATAAAGGGATACTCAAAGGACTGTTTTGCCTCTCTGGAATCCAATTTAAAATAAAAGTTTTTTACAAAACAACAGCAACAGAAGTCTCAGCTGCTCACCTTCTTCTAGGACCTCAATAAGCCCCTGATATTCAGTCTGAGAGGGGTCCACGCTGCGCAAGGGGCGGATCACCTTCCCCAAAAACACATTACTGCTAACATCCTCTCCCACTCCATTCACTGAAAATTGAACACATGCATCTTTAAATACAGAACTGCAATCGTTCAATTAACACTAGAAATCCAGAAAAAGTTCTCAGTGTGTAGCAAGCAGACACAACCCTCCATACCAGGTGGGACTTTGGTGACCTTCTCAGCGCTGACTTTGTTCCCTTTGCCCTTAGCCTGAGTGTACTCCACTGTGTCTCCCAGCTCTAGGTTGTCCACGTTACCACACACCTCACTGCACAGCAACACACAATAAAAAAAAAAAAAATTGGCCATTCGAAATGGGTCAAAAACATCCTGACATGCTAAAGCAATTGAGGAATTAGTTTCAAGTCTTGAGCTCCTTCTCCTGGCTGGGACGTGCATTACCTGTAGTGGAAGAAAATCTCCTGGTCATGGTTAGCTGTCTCAATGAAGCCAAAGTTGTCTTTCAGCGTTGCGATGAAGCCCAAAAGCCTCTTGGTGTTGGTGATGCGGTTAAGAACCTTGATTGAGACTGCACTCTGCTGGCCAGTCCTCTTTACCTCACTAATGGCGAACTCCACCTGAAGACCATCAACAAATTTAATTCAGTAACATTTTTAAATAGGGTTCCTTCCAAAGAGCTGTTTAAAAAAAAAAAAAATTATATATAAAATAATGGTGTAGAGATATAACAAGTATAGTTTAAAAAAAAAGTTAATAGGAATCCTAGAAAACAAACAAACAAAAAAAAAAATGTTTGACTTTGGGTTCATGTGGTTAATTTATTTAGTTTACAAACAGTGCAGTAACGTTATGAAAAAAATAAATGAATAAACAAACAAATCCACCATTCATTTAAATCATCAAACAGGCGTTACACTGGCATTAGAAAGACGTTAATTTTCATGTGTGTAAAGCCAGAGTATGTCAGTCATGCTTTCTTTTACAAAAACTGAATGACACTGAAGAAAAACCTAAAAAACCTTTGCAGCTTTAAGAGAATATATTCTTTACTAAAAATGCATCAATACAGATACTGGTATCAGCCAAATACTTGTGCACGACAAACTTGACCTGTTTTTAAATACACAAAAACACAATCACAGCAGCTTCCCCAATACCGGTGAGGAGACACAGGCTAGCTAAACAGAGGTTCTTAATAAATAAATAAATAAATAAATAAATACATAAATAAAAAGTCAACATCTGTATATGCTGACTTTACTCTGACTGAATAGAAGTGAGAGGTATACACGTTAGCAGCACTGCTGTAGCTCAGTTTCTCAGTGTTTGCTCAGGACTGTGAAGTGCGTTATTTTGAATGAAACAGCTTTATTTGATTGTTCGTAGACAGAGCTGTCTGCAAGGGCTGCATTTCACACCGCATGGACTGAGCGTTTTCCCAGTGCGAGTCACCAAAGAACAAGATCTCTAAAAATCGCACTGTTCGACTGGCTTTTGAAGATATTCAACTACAGTTCAACCAGCTAAAAAGACTTCGAAAACAGAAGCATTTTTCAGAAGTGGAAAAAACCTCACTTCTCCACTGCAGCACTACTTGATCTAAGGTAGCAAACCAATGTAGCACATTGCACTGCATTTAAAGATCAGCTAGATTTAGCCAATACTCTATCAGCGAGTACTAAAACATATGTAATTGTACTTGGTCTGAAAATGGCATCGATCCATACCATTCTTTAAATACAAAATAAACGCAACATTTTTAAAAGGAAGCCATTTTATCTAGTGTCACCTAAGACATTGTTTGCCCAAAAAATAGTCATAACCACCACATTGTTCGGCCAAAAAGTAGTTATTTGGCTTTGAAACGTTGTTTGACATATACTGCCTGCTTAAAGTTTATCTAATGTACCTCATTTCTCCTCCTAGTGGACAGTCCTGACCATTGGTTTAAGTTGTCTGGCTAACTGAAAAATCTTGCTTTGTGAAATACCTCCACATCTACACTTTAAGCACAAACCTATTAAAATGCTTACAATAACAGACTGGGTCTCAATCTATTTGGGATATTAAGCTAATTTGACATACCTTGTCTCCAAGCTGAGGGAACACACTCCCATCCAGGTCTTTGATATGATAGGGCACAGTCAGCTTCACTCCACAGTCTTCATATGCAATCACTCCTTCCTCTGCATCCTGCAAATACACACACAGAAACATGGTCAGTCAGAACATTGAACAACAAGAGCTGGTTTTCCAGACACAGATAAAGACCCCCCCGACAAAATGAACAAATAAAGCAAACAAAACAGCACAGACGCAGCACTTTGCAAACAGAGAGAAGGGGATTGGCATAGAATGGCCAACATTTTCAGATTGTACACTACAAAAGAACTCAGACAAGCAGAATAATGGCTCCTTTTCGCAACCTTTTAAATGCGCTCTAATTAGTCCAATTAGTGCTAATTAGGCTTCAGTATGAACACTGCAGGACCATTCAATGCAGGACAGCTATTTAATAGTATGAGGACAACCAGACAAGCGCAATAGGACAAATGAAAATCGAGTGAATTGACTCTCAGGTATTTAAATATCCACATCTGAAAATCATTGTGTGTAACAGTATTTGCATGAAAAGCGAGAAGACTGAGCCAGTGGTAGGTTAGGAGCACACCCTGTGCCTTTATTAGTTAAGTAAGTTCTAAGTGCTCATGGTCGCCACGTATTTTAAAATCATGCCAATGACCAACATTAATTCTCAAAACAACTGACCTTATCAACTTTAACCTTGAGAAATGGAAAGAAATAAGATCAATTTAAGTCATTACAGCCTCTACATGTCAAAATAAGGGTTTCAGTATGTCAGTATGTATAATATGGCAAAAACATCACAGAATAAACCAAAAATAAATAAATAAATAAAAATAAATAAAAATTCACTGCCAAATGGCATGTACGCTTCTGCACTCATGCTGCTGTTTTAAACAGCCCTACTCTCCAACATTTGTTTAATAATAAATGTCTGCATGTTGTCTGAAGAGTTGCATGCAGAAAACAGAAGCCTACCTTTTCTTTTTTCTAATGAAGAGGAGCATGATTGAAAAAGGGAAAAGGAAAATGGAAAAAAAATAAAAGATTAGAGAGAAAGGATGAAAAAGAAAATACAGCCAACAAAGTAAAAGGCACAGGTCCTCACACCTGCATTACAGGAAAAACTGCACAGGGTCTCTGTAAGACTCTCTCTCGCTCTCATTGTTATATAATTAACAGATGTGTACTAGGGACAAAAGCAGAGAGGTAAAGAAAGGGAAGGGCCAACACACATACAAAAAATAAAAAATAAAATAAAATAAAATAAAATCTCATGAAAAAACGCATACCCATACTGAGAACCCAGTTTTATCAAATACCTTCTCTTTGGCCTTGCTGGGGCTGGCACTGGTCTTGGTGTTGGAAGCACCAGTGGCCTCCTTCTCCACAGCACCAATGAAGCGCTGCTCAGACTGGGTGTGGAATGACACCGTTCCTTTGGGCAGCTTCTTGATCCTCACTGCATGGTTCCTCTGGGCTGACAGCATGTCCTGATAAAAGAAAAGTGACATTAGCGCTTGTGGGTAACAGGTTTGAAAGCTTCAGGAAGTAACTGTCAAAATTAGTACACAGCCATAATAGGGCTAGCAAAATGTAACCATAGAGAGAGCATAGTCAATATAAAATGACAAACACCTTAGTATTTCAGCAGCTAGAAGTTGTCCATTATCTCTTTTCTACTTGAGCTGCCTGCTTTACACTAATCTCTGTTTTAAACAAGTAGCAAAACTAAAGGCCTACTCATATGTACGATTTTTTCCAGACACGAAAAACAGACGTTTAACGTATCAAAACCTTCACACCAAATCAGATGTTTGTTGACAATTCATTTTTTCTTTCAAGCACTGCAACTAAAAAGGTGCACATACTGGGAACTGTACTTAAAAAAAAATAAAATAAATAAAAAAAATAAATAAAAACAAGGACAGACATGAATACATTAAAGACAATGGTAGACGCTTTTGTGCTCTTCCATGAGCAAGATAAGCTGTTCTGCTGCCATTTGTTTGGACTGCAATCACCACATCATAGCTCTGATTGGGTCAGTCTGATTTTAACGCATCTGTCCAACTCAAAATCAAACCAGGCATGAAGACCTTTATACACCTGACACAGGCCTCCTCCAAAAAACTTACACATGCACTGTACCTTTCCTAACCAACATGCCAAAATAACATTGCTGCTACAACCACTCAACACTCTGCTAACTGAAAAAACAAACAAACAAAAAAAAAAAAATTAAGGAGGCCAGGAAATAATCTAAATAAGATAACTAATGACTACACATCAAGAGTGTTCATTCTTCTCATATCCAAAATACTTTTCTAGCTTTTCCTGATTAATTTGTTACACATGCAGAAAAACTGAGAAGAAAATGGTTTGAACTGTTACTGAGCAACTAAAAGAGCTACATTACTCTATCCTGTATCCTGACTCACAGGAACGACAGTGAACTCCACTTCATCCGAGATGTGCAGTGGGCTCTCTTCCAAAACCTCACTGAAGTGGAAGAACATTCTGGCATCACGGTCCACACACTTAATGAAGCCAAATCCATCACGCATTGCAGCTATCACACCCTAGAGAGAATGATTAGGCAAACGGTACACACAGAGAGAGAGAGAGAGAGAGAGAGAGAGAGAGAGAGAGAGAGAGAGAGAGAGAGAGAGAGAGAGAGAGAGACATGGTGAGGGCGTAACGACAGTGGACATTTTCACAGCTTACAAAATTTCCTGTATCCTACATTACAATGCATTACATTTAAAGACTAAGTTACAAATCAGCTTGAAATAGATTCTCACCATTTCACGGGTCTCTTTAGTGAAATGGAAGGTGTCAGGCAGGATATCAATGTTTGTAGCTCGCTCAAGCTTGTCTCTGCGGTCAGTGGAAATGTTGAACTGGACATGGTCTCCTTCCAGAAGAGTCACTTTGGACTTTGTGTCTTTCTCCCCAAACAGAAGTTCTTTCTCAGTGGCGTTAATCTTGGCGCAAATTCGGCCAGGCAGTGGGTCGTTCTGAAAGGAAGGAACATCACCTTCAAAACTGGGTAAATCCCTTGAAGTGGGACTTAATAATAAACTATGCCAACACCCACTCTTGCAGCAGCTACTGCCTCTCACGCAATCCTAAATTACAACTATTAACTGAGCAGAACAATAATAAAAAAAGAAAAAACTGGGTGGGAACTGAAGTATACCTGATTCTTGGTGGGAACCTTGGGGATAACCTTGGTGACGGTGCCTTCAAACTGTTCAATACTGATATCCTCAAAAATAACCGTGCCTTGAGGTAGCAGACGCACATCTGTAGCCACCTCCTTCCCCTATAAGCAGAAAAGGGTAAAGAGTTTAAAGAAAGTTTAAGGTTTAAAATTTTTTTAATTTTAAACTTGTTAGAAGCACACTTAATTTTATAAAGGCATGGGTCAAAACATACATTTCTGTCTTTAATGGTGAATTCCACATCATCTCCAGCTTGCAGTGCCTCCAGGTCACCCTTGAACTCACTGTAGTGGAAGAAAATCTCCTTCACTACGTCTGCTCTCTCAATGAATCCAAATGCTTCCTACAAGGGAAAAAAAATAGCTTTAAAAAGTCCAGTGGGGATCCTGACAATTGAAGAACAGGGTAAAAGAAGGCTATCAAAGTCTGTAGAGTGCAGGGAAACAGACGGACTACGGTTTGTAATTGTAGAGCTAAAAAGTGCACCTATATGGAAACTGGAGCTGATAAAACGAATGAAGAATGCAGATAAAGGGACACACATTTAACCAAGCAGCTGGTTGAGGCATGTATGTATACATACACACAGACAAACAGAGACAGCACAGATTGATGTATGATGCATATTTACCTTAGTCGCACAAACCACTCCCTGGCACCTCATCTGCTTCTTCTTGACCAACACAATGTTGCGAGCACTGACTGCTCCGGTGCTGAAAGACAAAAACATGCATCACATAAGGGCACTCTGTCAAATTTATGTTTGATGCCAGAAGCTGAAAGAAAATAACTCACTGCTTGTTGGTCTCCATGTAGAAACTGACTTTGTCTCCTGTGTCCAGATGCATGTTACCCTCCACGTCGTCGGGGGTGTAGGTCAGATAGAACACCTCCTGTAGGGATAAAGAAAATTAACCTATAACCAACATATATCAATACCATATCTTCTAGGTTATTTTATTTGCAACATCTGAAAACCTGTTATTGTTTACACTGCGTGCCCATTCAATAATGAATGGGCAAATTATAATCTTCTCTCTTTCTTCTATAAAGATAGTTACTATTAAGTAACAGTAACAGAGCTTTCTTATGAAAGCACTGGTGCATAAGGAGAGAAAACTAATAAGACTTTGCTTTTGTACATTATGTATAAACAGAAGTACAGATGGAAAATAAGCAATTGCTACAGTACAGTCAACATGAAAAGTAACTGAAGAGATCCAATAAGGAATACACAATGAACATTTAAAACATACTTCCATTTAGTATCAGGTTAAGGAGAACAAAATACACAGAATTATACCCCATTCCTCTCGTAGCACACGCTGCCGGTGGGAACCTGACCAGGTGCAGACTTTCCATCGAGGTGGTTGGGGATGGCTGAGACTACCTGTACAGCAGTGCCGTTCACAGACAGTTAGAGAAGACACTGACCCAAATCATCACACACTAGCACACAGCTGAACCCTGAATCATTACACATGCCAATTACATGAGACATTTAGGTGAACACAACTGACAGACTTACAGCTGTGAATTATTAATTGCAAGCAGCCCCATAAACCACTAACACCACATTTAAATACTGACAATACACGTCAGACATTCAAGCCCATTGTGAACCCACAAAAAAATGGAGTGCTTCTTAATTCAGTAAAACTGGATTACTTTTTATTATTCATTATAATAGGTGTATTATCCAATGAGAATGTCCCCATCAAGCAAGTGAGTTTAAAATGAGCCTGAATCCCTCCCTGCCCCTCAATAATACATAAAAAAAATAAATACATAAATAAAATGACAGAAGAGACGAGGACAAAAACACAACCAAGAGAAAATGTGTTCCTTAACTGGATGTGGATGTATATAACCATGCAGCATAGTAAAGGGAGAGGCGTGCAAGTCAGGCCCCACCTGCCCAGAGATTCGCTCTTCGGGCAGCACTTCAGCCTTGATCTTTACCAGCTTCACAGCTATTGGCTTGCCCGTGCGCCTGTCGGACGACACCTCAAACTCCACATCATCTAAAAGAAGCAGGACAAATGACGGATCAGTGCTATCTGAATGTACAACTACAAGCAACTACTTACTTATGCCCACTTCAAATGTTATCACCACTGGTCTTTTATTGATGGTATCTGACTAAATACTGATTGCACAGCAATCAAGAGAGACAAAAGACCTCACTAATGGTCCACAATATATTACTACTAAGATACAAAGGACACACTGATACACAGACTACAGAGAATAAGCATAAATTCTCTTTAAGAGGTTCAGATGAAATCAGCCAATTACGTAAGAAAAGGTGAATCAAAGAAGACCTCCCACCAATTGGTTCCAAAACCGGTCCTAAGGTTCACAATATTTGCTCCAATTAACTGGCAATACAGAGAAACAAAAAATGTAAACCATCTGAGGGTTCCTGAGGACCGGGTTGGGAACCACTTGTTTAAACAGTATTTTTAACCAATAACATTACATGTGGTGAGCATGGTAGCATATTCTGGACTTATTCAAATGCAAATTTGAAAATGCCACACACACACACACACACACACACACACACACACACACACACACACACACACACACACACACACACACTTCCATAGGAAGCTTTTATAGGATAAGCGTCAAAAACGTCATTTGCCGCCCTGCCACTGCATTCCAAGTTCAAACAAATTCAACTTTGACCCAGTTTGCTGTTGACCTTTCCAAAGCACAGCCAATGAGAATGTGCTCTGTACGACGTATGACCACTTTCTTTTACATTGGGTCATTTTCTCTGCATAACGACAACCGTCAGAGCCTTTTTTAGCTTTAAATTAAGATACATGTTTAAAACTTCAGGCCTGTACAGCGAGTCAGGTGGATGATTTTCAAACTGATCTACTGATTTAGCACCGCTCAAACCCAGCAGTGAGCAAAACGGCAAAGTACGGCAAGCCTCACAGTGAGCAAAGTGCTAAACGCTCATATGAAAGCACTCGTCTTGCATACTCCCCATCATACATGTAAATTTGTGCCGACCCATTAACAACATAAAGCTCTTCTAAGCCCCCACTCTTACCTCCAATCTTGAGCTCCTGTAGGTTGCCATTGTACTGTGAGCAGTGAAAGAAGAGGCGAGCTTGCCTCTCTGAGCACTGGATGAAGCCATAAGAGGTGAGCAGCTTCTCCACTACACCAGTCTCCCGCAGGCCCACTCCTGTGCCATTAGCAAAGCCATTGCTGTGCAGCAGGCTTGGGTCGAAACTCATCTATGTGGAAATAACAATACGGTTAATTTCAAAACACAGGCTTAAGAGGTTACAGCTTATTAAACTCGTGATTTCTTACAACGACATAAGTGAACAATGACACAGGAATGAGACGGTCTCTCTTCCCCCAACATGTGTTTGGCATGTGAACTAGGCTCATATTCAACTGCTCAAGTGGTCAGAACAATCAAATTCTGCTGTGTCATTAATGCAGCAAGCATACTCAGAGCGCAGGGACTTAACCTAGAGAGATGTGACTGAACCACAGTGTTCCAGTGCAATCTGCCTGCCCTGGTGTTCTGAACAAAAGAATGACATTCAGACAATATAATATAGATTATGTGGGTTAGGCCTGTGATTCAGGATACTTTCACTGAAAAGTGGGGAGATGCAGGATGCACACACTCACAATCAATGAACTTACACATGCAACATCTAAGGCATTATTTTGTTTTCCCAACTGAAAACACCAACTCCCCTGTTTGGGTAAAAGCACTTCCTCTAACTGCCATGGATGAAACCCTGGCTGGTAGGCAGTAGTATATGTCCTCTGGCTCGGGCTGAGGTATGGCCAGTGGAGCTCAGCTTAGAAAATGCAGTCATATCATCAAACAAATTACAGACAAATTCAGCTTTAGCAACTTCCAAACCTCTTTAAATAACAGACTATGCCTTCTGGTTAATGCTCAGTGAGAATCACCTTCAAACCATGCAGTTAGCAACAACCGAGTTTCACACCAGTTAAGCTGGCGGGGAAGCACCCCTCAACATGCCCACTTACAGATCTCTGATACAAAGGGGTCCGCTTATGCCTTTTCCCTGTTCCTGCACGAGGGGTGTGGCAGGAGACAGAGGCGGAACGGGGGATTGTCTGGCTGAAGGTGGAGGGGGCGGGGGCTGGGGTGGGGGCTTGGGCAGCGACAGCAACAGAGGGAGCAGGGGCATCAGTGCACAGCTTCTCCATCTTCAACTGAGTGCTTAGGGCTGAAGGGAGCTGAGATAATAAATGAATGTTTGCATAGACAATATTTTAAAGATTCAGGATTACTCTGCATACAAACACACAGCACCCTGACACCATGACAGTCCCCGACACATCTAGAACCTGTTAAACCCATGCCAAACACAAGGAAGGCCTAAAGCATGATTACACTGCCATCATTGCTAAAATCTTTTGCATTCCCTCACTGAAAGTCAACTGTGTGCAATACTATTTTAAAAGTTAGTGTTCCTGAAAGACACTCCCAAATACCTGTCACAAAAAGTGGGTGTTCACACAATAATAGCTATTTCACATGCATGACTATCAGAGATGCACTGCTTTAGGAAAATATAACATGAAGGACAGAATAACAGAAGAGTCAACATGATCGAATAATGCTGCCAAGAATGAAGTTAACTGTTAAATCTTATTCTTTTCACCGATTTGTTCTACAACATGCCAGGGGAAGCCATTAGAACTAGAAATAAATCAGAAGAGGTGGCCAGATAAGGCACAACTACAAAATATAGCAATGGCAAATGGTTGGTTACATGAAAAGGGCACAGACTGACCAGCCTCGACCACTGGGACACTTAGTGGCAAACCCTGAAATGCAATAAAGCCCTCAGAAGATCTGATTTGTACCAAATGCCTCAGACAAATTAATTTAAGGGTACATTGTGAGTCACCAGAAATCTGCCTGAACAAAATCATTAGTCATAAAGAACATCAGCTTATACAAAGTGTGCTTTTCCACTGCCAGATCCATTAAATAGACAGTCATACAGAAAAGTTTGAACATTCCCTGTCAAGTTACATGTTTTGTTGATTTTCTATGTGAAAATAAGTGAACATCCGCCACAGAAAACAATTAAGTAATTTTGATTTAACAAATTTGATTTAACAATCTATATTTATGTGCTGATTTGAGCTGGGGGGGGGGTTACACTTTGTGCATTAAAGTGTGCAGAAGTTTGTTCTCTGTGGAGGATGTGTTAACGTATTTTCATTTAGAAAAATCAACACGTAATGTGACCAGGGGTGCACAAACATTTGCACACAAGTTTGTATGTGGAACAATGAGGAGTCCAACTGTTTTTTTTTTCCCTTCCAACTCCCCCCCCGACCAAACATGTGGAAATATGATTTTCAAATCCTGAAAAGCTGCTTTACGTTTGGGCTTTATTACATCACAGAACAGTTGGCTCAAACAGTGGAAAAGTATCACATCAAAATTCATATTGTAAGGATGGAGATCATTATCCCATCATAATTTGTTATCACATCATTTAAAATCATAATGAGTCACAGGCCGTTCTTAAAAAATCCCAAATCATTGACCAGCTCTAAGTTTTCACTGACTGCTAACAAAAAAAGTAAGCCAGCTTTTGACTTTTGGTCTTAATGCAAATAAATTTTATTCACACCCTGTAACTCCTCCAGACAACGTCCCTGGCCTTGCCTGCCACCTCTCTGACCGTCTCTGAGCCGAAGCTAGTCTCTGAGCCCGGTGACTGGGTGGGGTTATGGAAAGGTTAAGCCGTACAGTGCAGAGAGGGACGAAAGTGGGGTGTTCGATGGGAGGACGAGTTGGGGTTGAGGAAGAGAGAGGAGGAGAAGAGAGAGGGAAGACGGTGGGGTGAGAGGCAGACGGGCGGCACTTACGGATCGGCCGTACGGAGACAGGCTGAGCCCAACAGGGGAGGTGCTGCTCAGGTCAGCGCTAACAAACGCAGCAGGAGGCGACGCAGGCAAGGTAAACTCTACAAAGCCTTTCCAGGGACTACCCATTATTTTCCCATACAACCCTGGCCAAATTTACCACACCTGGGTTAGCCTGGATTACAGGTTTACTACTTTATGACTTGCTTTTGCCTTCAAGTTAATTCTTTTGTCAATTTGTGTTTTTCTTTTAAACTTTCCCCTCTCCCTTATTTTTATTCAAGGTGAAACACCTCTGGAATTCTGCAAAGGTGAAGAGAGGGAGAGAAGGGGTGGTGGGGTGAAACGTAAAGAACAAAAAGGGGGAGAAAAGAAAAAGCAACAAGAACAGCCAGTGAGCAAAGCTGCACAATTAGGGTAAAACTGGGGCCATGGACTTGTGTTGAGACAAGAACGCTACAGGCAAGCCAAGTGTGTAAGGTACAAGGTAAGTCTGGGTAGGAGATCTGAGAATTCCTATCGAGTTATTTTAAGCCAATAATGATGAAACCTTATATTCACAGCCTAAAGGCGCTTTGCTTTCATGTTTGCTGAAGAGCTGGTTTTAGAGCATTCCAAAGGAGGTTGAGGGGTATGGCCTAAGTATGACTCAAATCTAGGGGTGGACAATATTTATCATGATAAATTATGTCACGTTACAATAAGCTTTTCTTAGCATTTTATTGATATCACCAACTGCGTGTTTACTTGAGCCCTATTTGAGCTGGAATAGTCTTATCTAGGTGCTGTTAGTAATTCCACCAGCCGGTTCATACAGGATAAAGCATCTGTGCGATTTCTACAAATGACCTAAAATAGCCTAGATTGAAGTGTCACATTCCAAAAACATTCACATCAATGTTAAGATTAGAATTAAACTGATCCAAACAGACAAACTTTCCGTTAATACCACACAGAATAGCAAAAGGCTAGTAAAACAGCTTCATTCAATTTAACAAATTCCACACAACAGGACAGAAATCACTCTGCCCTGCGAGAGGTACCTTCAGATATTTCATTTCATTCTCCTTCTAATTAGATCACCAAAAATGTTGTAGATTACAGCAGTCCTGTTTTAACTTGCGGATAATGTAACTGTGCCAAGACAGCTCCTTCCGGTCGCCAAAAAACAGAGGTTTGTTATAACATTACCACAAGGTTGAGTCAAACAAGACTATAATTAAAAGAGCTGGGCATTTGAGGAATTCTAGAAGGTAATTTGCTTCAGAATTATTAGAGACTTGGATTAAAATCATGGATCATGGTAATCATTCAAATTACAGTACCACCCTAGGTAAAACTAATCCGGCTCCAATAAGGCAAAAAAAAAAAAAAATTGTATACTTTATTCTGGGTAAAAGGATTTAGCGCAATCCAGTATGTTAAACTAACATTTTGATGAAATATTATGTTTAATAGTTCTTTCCCCCTCCAACTAATTACTGTCATGCATATTATGTAGCAGTGAAATGTCTTAGTGATAATATTTTGGCCATATCCCACAACCCTGCTTAAAGAAATAAATCAGTTCTTTTTCACTTTTACTTTTACAAGAATAACAAATATGGCTATAGTTAGTTTAAGTAGGTTATTCATTTTTATCATGGGACAGATGTGTGCATAAACTATTTTCAATTGGAATGTGTTCTAAGATACACTTAGCCCAGCAGTACTTCTTCTCCACCAAATTCTAACAACTGTTTTGTCTTAGCACTTCATCTCAGTTACATCAATGAACCGACAGCAAACTGGTCAAATATTTGAGTACAAGAGCACAGGTACAGCTGGACATCTTTAAATTCAACCACTCCCTAAATATCCTAGATTAATCTAGACATACTCTGGGCATGTTGTCTCTTGCTTGATAGATTAGCACAACATGTATCATCAACTCCACATTTTACTGAGCATGAGCATTCCCTTGTTTTGAAAAAGACAATTCAAACAGTTTGAAAGATACTATTACCTTCTAATTGTGTTGTTTATGGGCTTATGAATTAGGGATTAACCCATGCAACACTGCAGCACATGCTGCATTTTTGAACAGAACTCGATTTACATTTCAGTTTGTGCTGTTCTTAAAATGTCAAGAACCTTCAATCTAGGTTTAAACAGGATTGTGCACCACTTCATTTACAGAAAGGTCAATACAGTGAGAAAGTCAGTAGGTATGGACTATGGAGATTAACTATTCTTTTTTTGATGACATTTTAAAAATATCACATTCGGATTTTGGTGTTTTGTAGCAAACTTGTTTCAACCACAGTGCATAGGAATTAAAATCTCTCTGAAACCTTGTGTATGCTTTGTACAATTCAGCGAACCAATAAGTATAAACAGCTGTTCATTTTTACAGTTATCCATTGATCAAGTTCTCTGATCAGCTATTAATAATGGCAAATGCCACTGCCTCTGTACTGTTTTAAAAAACACCACTAACATGCAGATTTGCAGTTACTGCTTGAACAAAGTCTGCAAAATGAATGGCTAAAAGAGAAAATATTAAAGAAAGAGGGAGACAAAAAGTACCTACCTTGCTTAGATGTCGTGGAACGCTGTTTTCACTTGGACAGTCAAACACTGAACCAATGTTTTAGATTCTTTGTTCTTAAGCACGCACACACTTATTTACTTCAGATTTCTGGCACACGTTCTAATAAAAAAAATAATAAGAAAAAATGGGACAAAAGAAAAAAAAAGGCAAATGCAGGTGTGGAAACACTGCTTTGAACAAGATGAAGGTGGAAGATAACCAAAACAAAAAAACAAAAAAAAAGGGATACAGGAGGTAACTGAGAAAGAAAGTTAAACTAGCAGACAGCAGCCCTCGCCGCACCCCAGTGGAGTTAGAGGTGCGGGGAGGATGAGTAGGGCTTGGAGCAGCGTTGGGACGTGTGCTTTGTCAAAGCTGTTGAGTAGGCACAAACTTCTTGTCTCAGATCAAGTATCGTCTTTGCTGTTAACATAGATGGACGGTTGTTTCAATCTAGTCGTTCCGCTTTGAAGATCTTTGGTTGCTTAATTTGGTCGTTATGGTTTACTCGGTTTTCTTCCTACGAGTGAAGTTCCGTTGTGTCTTCTTCAGAGATGTTGCACCGTTGGGTCGTCTTCAGGGGATGTTCTTCGTTTTTCCTTGATTTGTTTCTTCTGAGTGATCTGAACTTGAAGTAGGAGTTTCAGATGGTACAAAAATCAGTTCTTTTTCACTTCATACTGTTCAGAGAGAAAGAAAGAATACAAATTAAACACAGACTACATTAGCTAGCTATCTGTACAAAAAAGCTGGAAGCACAGAACAAAAACAGAGTTTTAGGGCTGCTGTGATCAACTACACTGATGCTTTATGTGTGCACTTGCATAAGTATCACTGATGCTTTGTGTGCACTTGCTTAACCTGTTTTTAAAATGCACACCCAGCACACCGTCAGAGTGCGTTTACAGGACCGCTGTATCTGTTCAGCATGTGTCATTACTGAAGATGCCACTTGTTTAATGAACAGCTGAAACTGCAGTTAAAAGTTACTTTAATTTCCGACAAACAATACACAATATTTGAATAGGTGGATTTTTCATTCAACTTGAGGACCGTTTTCGAATTGTACGCATAAGAGCTCAAGAATGCAACTTGTCTAGATATCTCTACTTAGTAACCACAGCTCAAGGTTTTTGGAAAATGTCTCCACGCTGGCACTGCCAGAGCCATTGATAAAGGAATACTAGCATTGATAAAGGCTTGAACAATCCTACAGCACAACTGCCAGTAGGATATTTAGCCACCTGATACTAGTGCTAGAGTAGGCCTTCTCTCTCTCTCTCGTTTTTTTTTATGTGTTGCTTCTGTAAAGTGTAGCTTCAAATTTGAGCCTCTAAATCTGTTTGTTAATGGTTAGCCTGTGTAATTACCTTTTTAAAACCACACACAACAACGCTGCAAGCTAAGGACTTTATACTGACAACATTACATCCAGCTAATATTTTACAAAGGCATCACAAAAACAAACTGGCAAAGATGTTCCTTACACAATTCTATCACTTGACACTTTTTATACAATAATATCATATACTACCTCACTAACTTGAGCCATGTCTCCTTTGTGTGACAAACTACAAGTTCTTTGCCCACAGGCTCACAGGCCTAAAAATATAATTTCCTCAGCTGCCCCACACACATGCAGCAAGGGCAGCTGACTGAACGAACCCAGCCCTGCAGATCAACGAATCTCTGCACATACCTCCGGTTAGACATGTATTTATGGAACACCATCTCAACTCGGAGCTCACTTAATTCAAATGGGCAACAACTGCACTGACAATCCTATTTACATCACACACACAGTTTCACTGAACTTATTCAGGTCAGGTCTAATCAGATGTTAAAGCTGGTCATAGTGACGGCACTGATTTACTAGAGGAAAGGCCACCTTTAAAAGACAGAAAGACGACACTTAATATAGTCACAGTGTGTTGCAATGAACACAACCACACAGCCCTCTCAATGGTCAAAACAAGACAAGCAAATGGGTCAAGTTCTATCCTGGGAAGTGGTGGGACCTTCTAAGAAATGGGCACATCATGTTCATGTGCCTCTTACAGTGATTATGTGGTTGAAGTACCAAAAACCAAAATGTTTTACGGCACAATTTTCCAAGCTCTCTTTATGCCTCAGAATTAAAGTTGTCACTCTGCCTTTCAGACTGACGTGTGTAAATTATGTATGCTCCGTTTGTCCTTCCTGCATGGTGCTTCATTTAAAATGCTGTCTGAGCTAAAACACTCCTTATAACGTCAAAAAGAACAGGCAGGGCTAAACTGCTGTAGGCTGAACAAATAGATATGTACATGTGTGGATTTAGTGATATCACAAACAATTAATTCAAAACAGGCTGGTTTTTGCAGCTTAGTTTCCATATTCAGACAGGGAGCGAATGGTTCATGTTGAAATGTGTTTATAGACTACATCAAACTAATTAAAAAAAAACAAGGAAAATTAGATTCTCCATAATATGAGCCCTTTAAGGTATGCTTACCCACCTTACTATACAATTCAATGTGAATTCAGAACACATCTTTGTACTTTAACGTGTGAAACAGGATATTCAAGTAGGACATGAGCGAGTCTACAGACAATCATAAAGGACTATCACTTACTGCAGTGTGGCACTGGAGCAGAGGGATAAAAGCTAGGTAGTACAGAAGGAGGAGGTAAGTGAGAACATGCTATGATATCATTGGTCAATATAATTATTCCCCACCGCTAGTGTACAGTAACTAGGCATGTGCACAGTATATGATAATGGCTTTAGGTAACATTGTGAAGACTTCAAAATGTTGTCACTTCATTAAACCTGCCTATTTCACCCATAAAACAGAGACACACAGCAGCCATGCTTTAACAAGCTCTCACCGCCACTGCAGTCTGGTACTCTGATCACAGACGCGATGCGAAAAAAGTTACCTAAAAACGTGGAATATTCAGAAGCGATTTTTTGCATCAAAACTACACACCGGACACAATGCGATTTTTTTGTTTGTTTTTTGCCAAACTGTCTGCACAGTGATAAGACAGGTAGAATATCTACAAGATGATCCTTTGCTTCTCACAAAACGAGCAAACTGTGAGACTGTAGTATGCTTTCTACTTTGGAAAAGAGGAGAACGTGAAGTTTCTCCACTTCATTTCGTTAGCTAAAACTTTCACTCTCAACTCGGATCTCCCCAACACAGTCTGCGCTGATTTTGCTGATGCAGCTCCACACGAGATAAAGCACAAAGGGGTTAAATGTCTAAGTGCAATAAGATCTCCTTTATTCCTCACAGATCGAGCAAACAGTGACACTAGGCTACTGCCCATTTTGGAAAAGTGAACGTAGCGTTAAGATCGTCATCGTTTCGTTCAGAAGCTGCTTCCACACAGGCTGTAAATTAGTCCGTAGTCCAGTTTGTAGCTCAGTTTCAGCTGCTTTTGGAGCATCTGATCCTTTTCACGTTTGTTTAAAGGTTCTTTTTGCTGGAACACATCTGCTCCGCCATCTTGGTTGTCGTCTTGCCAAAAACAGTGGCAACCTTGGTTTTTGGTGCCAGCAAAAGTTAGCAAAAATCAAACAGAGGGCGAACGAAATGTCTCATTTTCGCTGTGCAAAAAAAATTGTGTTTGATGTAGAGGATACCATCAGTTATACATGTGTTCAAATTAATTTACTGTCGTCCAAATATATCATATAAATAAACTGCGTTCAGTGTGTAGCGGCCTTAACAGTCTTTAGTTAGCGTGTCAGTGCTCAGTTTTTCAGAGAAGGAACTGTGTTAAAACCATCAGAAGAGGATTCTGTTATCTTCCTTCAAAATATGAGTTTAGCTTAATTACTAACCAGTAAGACACTTTATTAGTCCACTGTATTAGACATACAGCTAAATGTTACTGTTTACTGTTGTATGATTTTATTAAAAACAAATGCAATGTAATTATTAGGATGACTCAACAGAACTCACCCAAAAATGTACTGCAAAATAATACTGTTAGTGTATGAGCTTACAGATGTGTACTGCAGCAAAGTATGGTTTTCTTCTCAAGCATACACCATCATGACTGTGATACTAAATTTTGACATCAGAACATGTCTAACAGTAACATAACGTCAGAATGCCAAAATGGAGGCAAAGGAAAATTCTTGTTTCAGGTTAACGTTAAAATACATAAATAAATAAATCACTACTTGCTGACTAAGAGAGCTGAGAACACAGCCACAAAGACACCAAACAACCAAAGTTATGGCGTGTCACCGAGGCGCACTACAACTGTACCGGGCATGTTTATTCTTTTCCGATTTCGACACACTGGACTGCACGGTGTGGGCTTTTCAGCTGTGCATGACGCTGCCACTGGTGGGCGGTCTTAGAACGCACTGTTTTTGGCTGCGTCATCCACAGCTGAAAAGCACGCGCTGTACAGTTGCAATGTGGAGACTTGGAAAAAACACGCACCGTACAGCTGCAGCACGTTCAAACATCTGACACGACGTTCCTTCCATCACCCTCCCCGCACAGCAAACGCTTTCACACAGCACTCCTTCCTTACAGTAATGACAAACGGAACCCGAGACGGGATTTTTATTCCTCTTGTTGACTAAAGAGCAGTCCTTCATACGAAGGCAATCTATTCAGAAAGTGGGGAGACAGAAAGAAAACGCACAACTAAAGGAGTAGATTAAGTCAGTGTAAAAAAAGACGAAGCAGTGTCAGGGTCTTTAAAAGTCGAGCCTTCTAATTTGTTTAAAGCAGTAAACAAATTAAAAGACTAACGGAGCAGCAGCAGCATGCCAAGTCTATATTCACTCCTAACGCAGCCTGAGTTTATCTAACGACAACAAAAGTTCCATATTATTCACCGTCATTCATGCCCGATAGTCTTCGTTCGCACAACACGTACACAACTCGGCCTGCGCGCGTGTTACTTTTGTGTACCATAATTAGTTTCTCCTCCAGCAAAGAGACAGACAGTTATGTCTGCCCGCGCTATTCCTGAAGACGACTTATTATAGATTTATAACGCTACATGAACGGTGCTGCTTTTCGGTCGGCTGCGATGTTAACGTTAGATTTGTGTTGCGCGTCGCGTAAACTGTTCGACGCGTGTCTGCGACCAAGGACTAAAACATACTTTGTGTTACCGAAGCTTAAAATGTCGGACAACAAAGAAAAGGCAAACTAGTGGGAGCACACTGCGGTGAGCTGGGTAACGGGAGCTAACATTAGCCAACCTAGCATCGAGCCACGTTGGAAGAGCAAATTATCAGCGCATCTCCCCACGTCGTCGACATGAAAGACAATAGCATGACGTCGATAAAACGACAAGCTCAAATAAACGTAATATGCACATGTTTATAAACTCCAAACGCCGAACTGCGCGTCCACACGCCACGGCTGTGATTTATTAAGGCGAACTAGCCCGCCAGCTAACGTGCTAACTACGCCGAAACAAACGGTACAGAGCGCGGCCCCCACCCAGGCCCTCACCGTCCGACTGAAAACACATATCTGCTCTAAATACGACACCCCACCGCCCTGTTTTCACACATGTTCATTGTACCGATGTCTGCGTCCATTTTATGGTCTAAAAGCTTTGTATCACGCGCACAAAAAAGGAAAAACTTACCCCAACAGCTTTCAGCACTGTCACCAGCGCCGCCATAAGCAGCACGGCACATTACGTAGTGAGAAGAAAGGGGACCTATCGCGATATTTCACACTCGCACACGAGGTTTGGTGAGATCTCATTGCACGTCTCTAAATTATTTTAAAATTACATCCAAATAGAAGAGTTTCAGTCCGAAATGCTGTATATCCTTTTGTAACATTTTGAATACGAGTTTATGAAACGAATAACAGCTGGCGTGTAATGGAAAACACATTTTCGTTTATCTGAGGTGGGATTAATCGTACTATAACATTTGTGTAAAGCTCATTCAACAACGTTTATCAGGAAAAAATAAAACGATTGAAAGTGGTTTATAATGAGTTTTGAAACGAAACCTCAAATATATATTGTTATATTCTTATCAGTGGTGTGTTGCAGCTAAAATGCGTGTCTGATACTTTTTAATTTTGCCTTTATAATGCAGAGATTGGTAATTACGTCACGTGACTCAGTTAACCGCACTCACTTTAAAGTTTGATGGATTTGTATCTTCCTGAGTATTTTAAAGGGAACTCCACCGATTTTTAAAATTTCTGCATAATTACATGATAAACGTTAACAAAATCATAAGTTTCTTGGTGTAAAATGCTTTGTTCTAGAGAAACTTACAGAGTCAGAATTGTTCACAGTGTTAGCGACAGGAACCGGACGTTCACCTTTAAAAGCTCCCGCACAGAAAAGTATTACACGAAGTGTTTACTCAGCCTGATTCCTGAGACATTGTTTTACGGTAGTTTTGTGATAAAGTTAAGGTCTAAAACGTACTTCAATCAATTTACTTTAATCAGTTCAAGGTGGAGGGATACATGAAGGGTGTCCTTAGGCAAAATAGTTCCCAAAGGAAGCTCTTTTTTCAGATTTACCACTATTTTACCATCATCGACTTTACATATAAAAACTCAGATGCCGTGTAGGTTCACTGGTGGTTTTGGATAACAAACAGAATGGCTATATTTGTGTTGTAGAAACCAGGACTCCTGGTTCCTATCACCACCACTGTAAAGAAAAGAGTTGACAAGTTTCTCTACAATCGAACTATTTCACATCAAACTACTCTGAATGGCTTTGTTACATTTCACCCAGTGAATTCTGCAGACATTTTGAAAAATCAATGCAATTCCCCTTTAATACTTTCTTAACTCAAAACCCTACAGGTGAACAATGTAATTTTTTTTAAAACAGTACATATCACAATTAATGTTTGCCAAGTGATCTATTATATTTTCACAAGTACTTTTTGTATTTTGTGTTCCAAAAAATGAATCAGTATATATGCAAAATGAGATATCATGTAGTTAAATATGCACATGAAAATGAATTATTAAAAAAAGCCAAAAAACAACCCTTTGTGTGGTGATGAGCTGAATAGAATATTATTTATAATAGAATGTTTATTTAGTGACAGACTCTATAAAAATGATTTTCCCACAAAATATACGGTTTGTGCTGTAGTATAGAAGAAATACCCATATTTGGATAGCTAAATTCTATAGGAAATTAGCTTTTCAGTGATATATAACTTAAGCTGGTTGTACCAGGTGTTGCACAGCTGAGCCTAACTCACTAAAGTTGTTCACTTTTGGAAAATGCATTTAGATGGGAATGTACATGTTTTAACAAAACACCCTGAAATCAACACATTCTCTTGAGTTTGGCATCTTTATGATTACAGATTAAGAAAAAAATATGTTATCGATACAATTTATTAAAAAAGCTGAAAAGTGACAGGACAAAAATTGTGATTTCTTCATGTAGATTTTCCCTATAGAAGTTCCACTGCACTTCTTTAGGGAACCCAGTACTTAAGTAGTTTCTGACCAGCTACTCTTGTACTTCTCCTCAAGTTGTTTTTGGAAAGGTTCTTTAACTTGAGTCATAATTTCACAGATCTAACAATACTTTTACTTTAGCATATGCTTAGGCCACTCTAACCATCTCTGTTTATATGTAGCCTTTAAGCAAATGTTTTTGAAAATATTGTTTTTATATGTCTATATGAAGAGGTGCCACATCTAGAACCAAACACACAAGAACTGTCTAACAGGTTTTATTAGAAAACAATAAATAACTTTACAGAAACGTAAGCTATCTTGGTAACATATAAAAAGTTGTAACAAAAACAAGTAAGGCATTTTCACCTATTTCATCTAGATGTCTCAGATCTACAGTATACAGTATGTGGTGGAAGAGTAAATATCAAGAATCTGTATGACAATGTCAATATAAAGCATGAAAGCAGGAATGATGTGGCTCAAGGGATCTCTGCAACTCAGGATCACTGAAAAAAGCAGTCCACTGTAGTTCTGCTTAAAATCTGCCAGGATTTGTGTCCTAGGAGCGAAAAGTGTCATCGTCTTGATCCACGTTTTCACACTCATCTTTAAATGAGCCAGTAGAAGACCCAGCTCCCTAACATCACCCAATGGCTGGCCCAGTTCAGTTCTGACCATTTCTGAATGGTGTAACTAGCCATGTAACCCTGGAAGACAAAAGAAGAGAAGTCTTTCAGACCAAAGAGAATAACTTATTTACACAATATGTATCAATGGCTAGCAGGCTGGCTAGCTGTTTGATTATTAAGACTGAAAGAGTAGGCCAGTATGTTCAGATTCAATTTCAATAAGCAGTGCTGGATTGCACACTGCAGTGGTTCTCAATCCTGGTTCTGAACTACTACTGCCCTGCGTGCTGTAGTGTTGCCTCGTTAAGGGCTTGTTCATTAGTTCATTAGTAGGATGTGTTGGGAGCAGGTAAACTGTAAAATGTGCAGGGCAGTGGTAATCCAGGAGTGTAATGCTTTCTCATTTCAAATGGCAGAGTTAGGAAGAACAATAAGATAGAACCTTCTCATCCTCAGCATCCAGGTCAAAGAGAGAGCCCAGATATATCAGGTGAAAAATGGACAATGCGCTGAAGAACAGGTTCGTCCCGTACACCCACACAGCCTGTGAAAGGACGAAAAGACATGCAATCACTGATCATTTTCACTTGAAATAGTCCACAGGGCACAGATCAGAGGTAATCTGAGTCCAGCAGACACCTTCTCATATACACCGATTAGGCATAACATTATGACCCCCTGCTTGTTTCTATGCTCATTGTCCATTTTATCAGCTCCACTTACTATATAGGTGCACTTTGTAGTTGTACAATTACAGACTGTAGTCCATCTGTTTCTCTGCATACTTTGTTAGCCCCTTTTTAACCTGTTCTTCAGTGGTCAGGACCCCCATGGACCCTCACAGAGCAGGTACTATTTGGGTGGTGGATCATTCTCAGCACTGCAGTAACACTGACGTGGTGGTGGTGTGTTAGTGTGTGTTGTGTTGGTACAAGTGGATCAGACTCCAGCAGCACTGGGTAAAAGGGGGCTAACAAAGTATGCAGAGAAACAGATGGACTACAGTCTGTAATTGTAGAACTACAAAGTGCACCTATATAGTAAGTGGAGCTGATAAAATGGACAATGAGCATAGAAACAAGGAGGTGATCATGATGTTACGCCTGATCGGTGTAGGTAGTGGAACTTAAAATCCTCTTTTCTGCTTTTCTCCCATTAAAAAAACTACACACCAGACACAACGTCATCTTTTTAAAATTTGTTCATGTTATTTGCACAGCAAAAAAAAAAAATAAAAAATGAGCAAATGGCAGAATGTCTCCAAGTGCAAAAACACATCTTTTGCTCCCTACAAAACAGGCTAACGGTGATGTTGGGAAGACTACTTTTATTTTGGAAAAGTAAAGGTAGTGTGGAGAGCGTCATTACTTCATTCAAGAGTGCTTCCACTTCTAATTTAGCCACATATCACTCAGATGTCTGTAACACTGTTTGAGCCACATATGAGATGCTTTTGGAGATGCTAGCACTACACATGACAAAGACTTCTGTCAAAAGTTTCTAGTTGCTGGGACACAGCCGTTCCATCATTTGGGCTGTCGACATGCCAACACTGATTGGTTGAGTGAGTTCATGTTGTCGGTGAAAATTTCCGGAGAGAGAATAAAATTATGCTGAATTTCTCCGTCTGAAAGATCACGTTTGGTGTGCAAGATATCATCAGTTATCCACGCTTGAATTAATCTACTGTCGTCTAAATAAATCACACAAATTAATCATGTTCTGGCTTAAGGCTATCAAAACACAGGCCTACCTTTTTGTTCTGATGCTGGCAGTCACTTGGACAGTGTTTAGATAGGATGCAGGCATTGAAGATGGTGGCCAGTCTTTTTCTAAGAACTGGAGGAGGGACACACAAAGCAGTCAGGCTAATTTATTAGCAGTAGTGTTGCACAACATAATAAATGTTAAATTTTTATCATTTCAGTACTACAACATGGTAAACAACTTAATGCTTCCAATACTCATCTAATTAAATAAGGTTAATGCTTTACTAACATTCTGCTTACAGACAAATCAACTTGCACAAGCAAATTTTTACTCAGACTACAAACACCCTCATTAGCATACAGGCGAAGAGTTTTATTCAAGAAAAAACATGATCTTATGCTCCTAAAAACAACCAACATAAAGTATTCCATTTTGTGTTTGTTTTAAAGACAGTGTGATGAATGTTCAGCTATGCTGTAGGTTCTCATCTTACTATATTTCAATAACCAAATATTTTTGGAGTAACATTACATCATCTATGATTTCATTCAGTGACATTCATATCATTTTACAAGAGGTAAATGTCACGTGGAGTTATATGCAACAATTTGGGGCCCCTAGACAAATTACGTTTTGTTGTTTTTACCTAGAAAAGCAACATATCCAATACAGAGAACACACTTCTGCACATTTTAATGAACAATTACTGTTTATTTAACATATTGGAAATAAGTTAGAACACAAAATGTGGTTTGGCATATTTTTATTTTATGTTTTAAAATCTGCTAAAAAATGTCATATTTAAGTGTGTTTCCTGTAGAGGATGTGTTGACTTATTTTCACTCAGAAAATAAACAAAATGTAATTTGACAACAGCTGTGAATGTTCACTGTGCTAAAATGTACTCTCACATGATTTTGTTCGTATCACGTATCATGATGCGAGTTGGCTGGCATATCTATGCATGAGGAATTTGCTAATTGGCTCTACTGACAATACATAACCGTGTATTTGGGCTTATTTTAATCATCAGGTAAATTATTATGGGCTATTTCATTGCTATACTGTATGTTGGGGGTGTTTTACCATGCTCCACGTATGTGACGAATCCCAGAGACAACAGCACTGCTCCCAGGTGGAAGCTGAGACCCTGCAGAGCAGTAGAGTGGGTTTATGTTTGAGGTCTGATTTCTCACAGATCTAGACATGTTTAGAGAACTGCTGTATTTCCGAAGTTTCCAAATCACAACATTCACCACTAGGTGTCTCTAGATGCACAGCTATGATGTCTAGCAGAAACTACTCAGGCAACAGAAGTCACGACTCAGGATTCTTCTCTTTCACTATCATGTTGGTTCCTCCTTTAAAAGAAAACAGCCTTGAAGCAACTAGCTACACACCACAAGGCCACATCTTGCAACTGCTTTCCCTTTTACCTGTCAAGACTTCTATAACATCCAGGGTGCCATGAAACAGGATGTGTACTAAATCGAATAACACAAAATGATGCAAAGCATACATTGTTTTAGATAGCTGTGTTTATATATATGACAACAATGCAAATTAACAAAGTGATCACTGAACCCATACTCACATGAAGCAGAGCGCTGGCTGTGTAGGTCACCAAGATTGCAGGAAATGTACCAAGTTTGAGAGCACTCTTGAAGACATCTGTGCAAATTGACATGAAGTGTACTGACATGAAAATTCTGTTTCCAAAGCTTAGTATGTGTCCACAGTTGAGTCCACAGCTGAGGACTATTGCTCTGCCGAACATGTAAATTAACCAGAGGATGCAGCTTTTTGTAGACAGTAATATATCAAAAGTAAGAGCATGTATTTAAAGTCAACCTGAAATTAAATAAACGTCATTGTACAGAAGGAAAATACAGTATGATTTCCAATTCACACTGACTTCAAACACTTACATTTGTTCAGCCAGCGAGACATTGGCAGGTTCCAAGAGGTGACCACCTCCACCATTGATCTGGGCAATTCAATATTGAGCGGCTTTGCAACTGTTATATCCCTACAAACAGGTAAAATAACAGGATGGAATTTTTCTGTAACATACATGCATCTATATATCTAATTATTAGATCACAGAACAATAGCTTACTGTAGGGCTGCCCCAGTGTGCTGAAAATATAATACAGACTCATACTGCACTTGTTAACATTAACTGTAATTAACAAATACCAGCCAGCTCAACACATGGCCAAGCAAATATAGAATGCCTGTTATTTGTAAAGCTATGCACAGAACACAAGAGAAAAATCTTCTGTTACAGCATTTGCTGCAGTGTGTTGTTTACGATACAGCGGGTGTACTGCTTAATGGAATGTATTAAATGCAGCTAATTACTGAGGTAATTAGCCGTATTCCGTAGAGGTGTGTTTGTGGGAGAAAGGCGAGAGAGAGAAATTATTTTCACTGACCATTTGAGGTGGTCTTTGTGCTCAGAAAATCCAGCCCCAGCCATAACAATGGTTGTTTCGCTCAGATAGCTAACAAAGTAGTTACTGAAGTGAAAAGACACTGCGGTCTCATATGCATGAAGCCACCTGAAAATAAACAGCAGATGACACAATTTTTTAAAAATACATATTAAACATTGACCTTTTCTTCTGGCATTGCCGTATACTTTCACAGAAATATGTGATCTGACCTGCGAGGAAGCCCATCTCCATAGATGGGAATGAAGTAAGGGAAGAGATAAGGAGCGATGCAGGTGGAAATGACCAGGCAAACCTGACTCTTCACAAAACTCAAGGCAACCTTGCCAAACCAAGCAACACTCTGCAGTGAAAAAGTGGATTGCTCATAATCTGCTCATAAAGTGGATTCACTTTTTACAATGTTTACAGGGCTGCAAAAATGCAATATAATGAAAATCAACCTTGGAATTCTGTATTTGATTATATTCAATTATAACCATTTTAATAAGGTATGTACACATTTATTTATTAATATCATAAATGGTCTATATAAACCCATGTAAATGTCTCCAGTCACATTCTTACACTCAGTATATTTTCAAAATAATCTAAATTGTGCCAAATTAATCAGATTGAATTATGGTGAAATTTGACACTTCAGCACTGAATAATTAAGAGTAACAATCAAAGTGGTCTCTAACTCTGGCCATTAAGTGCAGGTTATTCATTTTGCAGCTTCAGGAAAGAACAATCATATTTAACAGAAAATTATACAAAAGCCTCACTAACTAAATATGATATCAAAAATTTCAGTATTTAGTGTGCCCACACTTAGCCTTTATTACAGCTTCCATTCGTTTTAGGTTTCTTTCAGTTTTTCAAAGAAATCTGCAGGGATTTTTTCCAAACCTCTACAGTTCAGTCTTAGAAGTTGGTTGCATTTTCTGTTTTTCATGATTAAAGTAATCCCAATTACAAATGTATCCCTTCAGATCCATTGAGTTGTCTTCTCACAGTGTAAGGATGTTAGGTGTTGCGGGTTAGGTGCCTTGCTCAAGGGCACTTCAGTCATGTACCGGCAGCTTAGGGAATCGACCCGGTGACCTTCCAGTCACAAGGCTGGTAACCTCCAGCCCATGACTGCTCCCCAGATCTAAAGAGTAAAGCTTCATTTTCTCCTGTCTGTCAAAGATTTAGTGATGGGGACAGTTTTGGTGGTCTACCAGATCTTGAACCGTTGTCAGGAGTCTCGTTTTCCCTCATTTTTTAACCAGTTTCTTCCACCTACTTTTCTTTGACTTTCCCCTTCCTTATGCTAGTTTATTATTTTATATCTTATCTCCTCATAAATATCTCCTTTAGCTATTTTAGATGAAACATGAGAGACAAATTTGCAAGGCAACTAAAGTATGGTAGTTGCTTGTGTGAATGTTAAAGCCTGTTTACTCCTTGCATTGGTGTATATACCTTGTGTTTCATGTCCGGCTCGTATCTGGATATACTTTGGCTGGATTCTATTTTTACTAAAATGCATCCCCAGTGACCAGATGAGATCCCATTTTACCCATGTAAAAAGCATGTCAACACACATGTTGTTTTCGTTTTACTTTCGTTTACTCTTTTCGGTGTTACACAAGTGGACAAGCTTGGCCTGGACGCTTTCATCAGCCTGGAGTACATAAGGGTTCCCAGTTTGGGGCTTCCTTCTTAGGCCCTGTTTACAATTTGCATTAACATGTAATTTTGGTGATCAGATCACGTTTGGATTTCACTTAAACACATGAAAAGCCAGGTGTAAACATTGTAATGCATTGTGAGCAGATTAGGATTGGACCACTCAAACCACAGTCAGAGGTGGTCAGAGATGGATCTTGACCACATTTAACACAACGTACGTTTTTGTTATCACTATAAAATTACGTGAGTGCTGACTAGCAGGTGAGAGAATAAACAAGGAAATGAAAGATGGAGGATACATAAAGGCTGGAGTCATCCTCACACCAGGAGCCTTTTTGCACTGTGGGCCGATGAAAGTGTCCAAGCTAAGCTTTTCCACTCATTTTGTAAAGGAGAAAAAGGCGAACAAAAGTAAAACAGAAACAATCAGCCCTTATCTGGTCAAGCTCGATGGGCGTTTTAGTGAAAAATGTAAATGGAATCTGGCCGAATTTTATCCAGATACGATCCGGAAGTGAAACACAGGTTAATATGAGGCGAAACTGGTTGGTTTTCAGATTGGAAGGATAGAAGAGTTAAAGTGGCAGTGGAGTGCACAAAAGTAAAGGGTGGATTAATTAAATATTTAGTGTTTCCTGCCTTTTTTCCCCTTCACACTGAGTAACTTACTGGTCTAGAATCTTGTACAAAATGGTGGTCTCTGATTTTTGCACAGTATTGTACATCTATAGTAATTAAATAATTTTTTTAAAATAGAACACTTTCGTGAATTAATTCGAACTTACCATTTTGCGGCCATCCAAAGCATCTCTGTAGTTAGTGAAGCTAATCCATGGGCCAAAGATGACCGTTCCCACAAAGCAGACGTAGCTCAGAAACTCCAGCATCGTAGGAAAGGAGGACACAGCCCCTCGGTCGAGGTCAAAGGCCAGAGAGATGGCCTTCATGGCCACCACCATCTGCGAGCCTGGACACACAACATAGAGGGCTAATGTCTAAATAACAAAATGGTATTACAGAACACTAGTTTATTCATACTGGGGAAAAAAGAGAACATTTAATGAAAAGTAGAGTTTATTAGGACATTTTTTTTGTGGCTGGGCAAGTGTGAGCAAATTTATCTGCACAATCTTGTCAAACACATTGTGTTGTTGCTCTTTATGCTTTTGTAAACAGACTAATATGTGTAGTATGATGCAATTACATCTATTAATTAGGCGTACATCATCTCTTTTTCTGGTAACATAACACCCATACTCTCCTCAGGGACCATCCATCCATACTACATGGCCAAAAGTATGTGAACACGCTTTCTAATTAATGGCTTTGCAATCTCCACATACAAACACTGACAGTAGAATGGGTGGCACTGAAGAGCTCAGTGACATTGAAAGTGCCCCCCCTCATAGTATGCCACGTTAACAAGTCAGTTCTTCAGATTTCTCCCCTGCTAGAGCTGCCCCAGTCAACTGTAAGTTCTGTTACTGAAAAGTGCAAACATCAAGTCCAACACTTAGGAAGCAACTGCAGTCTCTGGAAGCAAAGTTGGAATGCAAACTTTTTGTCAGGAGCTTCATGGAATGGGTTTCTATGAGAGAGCAAATGTACACATTGTACACAGCAACTGTAATGTTAAGTGTCTGCTAAAATGGTGTAAAGCTCACCACCATTGAACTCTGGAGCAGTAGAAACACTTTCTGCAGTGAAGAATCACGCTTCAACATCTAGCAGTCACACGAATCTTGGTTCGGTGGATGAGGAGAATCTTACCCGCCCGAATGCACAGTGCCAACTGTCAAGTTAAGTGGAGGAGAACTAATGGAGGTACTTTTCATGGTTTGGGATGGAGCCCTTAGTTCCAGTAAACAGAGATCTCAACACTACAGCATACAATCATATTCTAGACAATTATGTGCTTCCAACATCCAACTGGCAACATGACTATGACTCCATGCACAAAGCAAAGTCTATAAAGAAATAAGTTGCTGACTTTGGTGTGGAGGAACTCAACCTGCCAGCACAGAGCCCTGAGCTCAACCCCAACACCTGAGATGAACTCAAATGTCGCTCAACATCAGTAATGCTCTTGTGGCTAAACAGAAGAGAAATTCTGCAGCCACATTTAAAATCTAGTGGAAAGCCTTCCAAGAAAAGTAGAGGCTGTTACAGCAGCACAGTGAGGACCAACTCTAATGCTCATGAATCTGGACATGATACATGAATCTGGACCACATACTTTTGGCCATGTAGTGTATCTGACTATCTACCCATGCAAGTATTACTTACCCCTCATCTTATGCCAAGTCTCTGGATCTATTATGTGCAGCTCGCTATGAAGAACAAAAAAGTTGCCCATCATTCAACAAAACTCATGATAAGCAGTGGAACATTTTAGTGCTTTGTGATAAATCATCATGAATTCACAAAGGAAATGTCATCCTTTCACAGCTTTCTAAATAAAGCACAAAGCTCTTTTCGAGTCAGAATTGAGAGAACAGATCTATTGTCTATCAGGTTCTCACCCCAGGAGCATGTAGATGAGGATAGCGAGCGAAAGAAAAACCCCTCGGCTGCTGGACTTTCGGCAGAGGAAGAGGATGAGGAAGCAGAGGAGGCTGAGTATGATCACCCATACCATGTGCAGCTCAAAGAACACATACAGCACATACAGGCCTCCTGTTAATGAACTCAGCTGCTTCACATGAACTGGAATACCTGGCAGTTAGAAGAAATACAGTTAGTTTACCTTAGCAGTATGAGCACAGACACATATGAAATAATTAGAGACCATTAGGCTGTTGTCATCACAACACTACATACAGTTATATGCATAGGTTGAACACTCCTGGTCAAATTACATGTTTTGTTGACTTTCTAAGTTAAAAGGTTAACACATCTTCTACATAGAACAAACTTAAAATATGGCATGTGGCCATATTTTCTGCAAAAGTTAGTACACAGTCGCTATTTATTGGCTGAGTTTAAAATATCGGGGGGGAAACTTTTCCACAGGCCACAATTTATTTTTTCCTTTTCCAATACTTTACATTCAGCAAATAAATAGTAATTGTGCATTTAAATATGAAGAAGTGTGTTCTCGCTAGAGGATGTGTTAACTTAGAACATCAACAAACGACGTCATTTGACCAGGGGCTCCCACACTTTTGCATATAACTGTATGTACTGTAAGCTAAGATGCATCAATATTACACTACAGTGTAAATAGCCACTTCAGTGCCATTTGTGTATTAATCATATTATTAAAAATTACTCTAAATCAAAATAACTGCTATGAATTGAATTCTGGTGACATCTGAGCCTTTATGACACAATTGTTTCGCTGTAAGGTCAGAAATTTGCAGCCCTAATATTCATCAGTCTAATAAAGCAGTGATTTTTAGGATTAGGCATCACTTTTTTCATATCGAGCAACAAGGCCTGCTGACAAAATCTCACCCAGTCTGCAGACGATCCGGCACAGCAAGCAGACCAGCAGTAGCTGCCACACCTGCTCCAGGCCCTGCTGCGCTGTGGGTAAAATGCAGCCCTCTGCCAAATACTGCAAAAACTCTTGCCGCCCAAAGGACTCCATGGCAACCTGAACAGAATGTTGTTAGCAGAGGTGGCAAGTAATACACTACATTCATTCTGTTACATGTACTTTACAAACATTTGGATGAATCTGTACTTTTCTGAGTATTTTCAATTAATAATTTTGCTGACACTCAAGCATATTTATGGTTATATGATGTTTTTTACTCAGTCATTTAAATCATTCACATTTAGTTCCTAATTACCTTCCTGCATTTAAAGGGCCCCATCCTACATTTTCCTCTCCTTTGATTTTTCCCCTAACATTTGTGTGCATGTATAAAAAACAGCCAGCATTTATTTGTACGTGACCATTTTCCAAATTCTCTCTGTGTTTTAGAATTTTTGTTACTGTGTCTTTAACACTAATATATGCCAGTAGCTCCTTCTCTTATTGGCTGCTCTATGTCATCCCTCATTCAAAAAGCAGCCTTGGCTGAAACACTCCTTATAACTTCAGCATGAAGTAGTTGCAGGTAAACTGCTGTAGAGCGAATATACGGATGTATTTAAATGAGTTGGTTTTAGTGACGTCACAAAATCAATTCAAAATAGGCTGTTTTTGCAGATTAATTTCCAATAATGGACTGGGAACGGCGGAATTTGACACTTTAACCATGCTTACTTACAGCATTAAACTTTTTTTAAGGACAAAAAGCAAGGAAATTTTGTTTTTTCCATAATACGGGCCCTTTAATTTCATACTCCTATTCGAGTTGTTCTCGGTAGCTACTATTATTTCATCAAGTACTTTTACTTCAGTGAGGTTTTAGGCTGCTGTACTCACCTCTGGCTGTTAGCCACACACAGGACCTATAAGACACAGTGGAAGAGATTAGCCTTCAGTGTGTTCTGAGTTCTGGCATGACTGACCAGAGACAAGAAACGTCGACATACCTCATTACGCCAGGTTAAGAATACAGCTTTACATTTCTCTGTTTGATGATTTTGGGTCACACAAATATCCTGAGGTTTGTGTCTGAAGCGCTGGTTCTCACCGTCAGCCTGAACGGCTTAAACGTGCTACTACGTGCTTAAATTCCTCCACTAATGTAATCTTCTCTACACATCACTGAGGGAATTTAGGAAACAGGCTTTCTTTCTCTGGCGCGTTTAAATAAGTTGGCTAATCTATAACTGTGTATGAGCAGCTGTTTCTGTAAATGCTGGACTAGTCAGGTTTGGCTTTGTATCCAGCTCAGTCACAGGAATCACAGGAATGCCTTCACTACTACCTGAAACTTTTCTTTCAGTCTGCAGTGGAAAGGTTAGCGACCCACTATCAAGCTAATGGAGCAGTGGAGCATTTATGATATCCGCTAACGCTCTTCCAGTCCGGTAAGTGAGTGTAAGTGTTATTAAAGGCATAAATCGCAGATAAATAAAGCAGATTTCTCTCTCTCTGTGTGTGTGTGTGTGTGTGTGGGACCGCATTGATTTCAGGCTCTTACCACACTGCTGTGCTAGGATGTCCGACCCGGAAACGAAGTACGACAAAAAGTCAGGACTCCGATAAATCATCCAGCTCGTACAGAGATCCTCTCCATGCCGCTGTTACAGCTGTAAACATCTGCTTGACTGGGAGAGCTAACAGAAAAGTAACAGATGAAATGGAGCATGCCGAACTTCAACCAACCTTGATTCAGGCGGCGCGTCGGCTGCAGTACCGCGAGCAGTCAGTAGGGGCCGCTTTAGCTCTCAGTTAAATTGTTTGCATTTCCTCCGGTAAAAAGGAAAAAAAGACAACTGTAACCATCGCCGCGTCTGTAGATCATTCCTTCTCGCATCCTACAGCAGTGCAGCAGCTCTCTGGAGCGAGATTTTCATGTTTGAAAACTAGGAATAGCCCCTCTGATGATGTATGTTGAAGGTGGGAGGAACTTTTGAAAAACTACAGCTGCTCTGGGGGGAATTTTTTTTGTTACTGGTGAATGTAGCAGCCAGATGCCAGATAACGTTACTGCTAAGAAGCAGAATATCTTACTGCAGCGGTAACTGCCTTCAAATCATTGTTACAGTGGAAAGAACTGAGTATTCAAATGACAGAAATGACTCGGCAGACGAGGCCAGCAAGATGTGCCAAAGTTAATAGGGTAGTTGGGTAGGGCAACAATCACTTTCAAACTATGCCAAAAACTGAAAAACAACAAAAATGGAGATATGAGGTTTTGTTCCGACAGCACTGATACGCTATTTATATATTTGCCGCACAAAATCCTTCTGTTCTGGTCTTATTGGATCTTAGTGCAACGTTTGATATCACAAGATTCAAATTCACCACCTTGAATACTGGCAGACCACTCGGGCACAGTTTTAGAATGGTTTAAATCATATTTGGATAATAGGCAGTTTATGGTTTCACTGGGAAATCATTTATCAAGAAAGTTTGGCATTTCCTGTGGAGTCCCACAGGGTTCAGTTTCAGGGCCTTTGCTTTTCTCTTTGTACATGTTACCTCTAGGTGATGTCATTAGAAAACAGTACAAATTTTCATATGCTGATGACATGCAATTATTCATTTCCATGCCTTCTGACAATCCAGACCCAGTTGACAGGCTTACCAGCTCTGTGTCAGATGTTCCTCAGTGGATGTTGCAAAATGTTCTACAACTAATCATGAAAAAGCTGAAATACTGATCTTTGGTGCTAAAACTCAGAAAATGCTGCTTAATAAGAGGCTTGATTGTGTTAGTTATTATGCTTCTAAACTGTGGGACTCAATTTCACCTTTTATTAGACAGTCAAGCTCAGTGTTCACCTTTAAGAAACATTTAAAAACGTATCTCCTTAAACTTGGTGTTTAATTAAAACTCTACATCTGTTGATATTTATCTTTTAATTCGATCTGTGTCATTTTCTTATATGATTTTGAATTACTCATAATTTCTTGTATTACTGTTAATCTTTATCACCTGTCTGTAAAATACTTTGACCTGCTACCGGCATGATAAGTGCTATAACAATAAAGATTATGATTATTATTATTGTCATTTATAGAACTGTGTTAGTGCATATTGATAATTGCATGGTGTTTTTGGTGTGGAAAGCTTGTTGATAGCCGTGGAAAGCGTTGTACTTCTCCCAGAGGAATAATGTGAAGCAGAGGAAAGTGGCATACCAATGTGGGATACTGTGACACTTGTTTCCATGGTAATTGTTCATATGACACTGCAAGATCTGTCTATATATAGTCACTCTGTACAGGCTGCTGTGTCGCTGGAAGTTTCATTACCTTCAGGAAAAAACACATAAAAACAAAAACCCCGAATGCATATATGACTTTCCAGTGAATAAATGGTGATTCTGGGTTTATACAGCTATGCAAGACTAATAGCATAAGAAATTCCCTTATGGAACTAAACGTGCAGTATTAATGAAAGCGTGGGCTGCTAAATATGATGGATATGGTGCACTGGTGTTTGCAATCACAGCTTAAAGAGGAATTTCACAGATTTTTCAAAATAATTAAATTAATAATTAAATTGTTGAGATGGCTGGATATTTTGATGGTTTTTCAGAGTGGTTTAGGATAAAATGGTACACTTACAGTCTCTGCACCCCCACCCAAACTATTGCTCTACTAGGGTGGAAAACACGAGTTATTATACTTTGTTACTATACTTAAGTATTATTTTGGAAAATTTGTACCTTACTCGAGAAACACATACTTTTTGCTCCTTACAGTTTTCATTAAGACCTTCAAAGTACTCCCCAAAGGAAAACTGTATTGCTTAAATGTTGCTCTTTGATTGCTCCGGAGACTTAATGGTGATTCTTCTAAAATTCCTTAGGAGAAAAAGCATTAGACAAAAAGGACACATGAGATGCAGGAGAGATGAGAGAGTACAGTTGTAGATAAACATGAGCATTATTATCTTGGCACTGTGTGTAACTTTATTGAGATCTCTGCTAAAATTCAAGAGGAGGTGTGAGATTATTGGGGTCTTTTTCTCAGGAGAAATATCTGAGCAGCAGGAGACTTAAGTCTCATTTGATTTTATTTTCTTGTGGGACATTGCAAATCTCAAAGAACCAGGTAATTTTCATCTCTCCTGCCAGTCAGTCTAGGTTTCACACATTTCTTTTTTTATTAAACACCCAATCAAGTTAACATAGCAGTCTAAAATGAATCTGCTGACAACTGTGCTAATTCATTTTGCGCTTTTGCCTAGTAGTCACCACAGCAGACTCGTGGCCCAGCGCTGGACAGAGATTAAATGATATCAATGTCCATAAATTAGGGTCCATTTATGGACTGTATGGCCTGGGGAGTGAAATATACATTTAGAAACCTTTAACAATGTTACCTGCTACATCAGGCTGTTTTATTTCGAAAAAGGATGAGGAAAGGATGATTCAGTTTTTTCATGATATGGGTCCTTTAACAAGCTGGGACACATATGTTAGTCATCAGGAGGTGTTCAGTGCGGAGGCTGCAGTGGCGTTAGATGCTAGCACGGTGTCACTGTTGCCTTGCAGAGGCAGTGGCTGAGAAGCCTGGGCTGAGTTATTGTCTGGCCTAAATCATTACTCTCAGCTCTTGCTGTTTATACACCTGGGGCTTTGAATTGAGGCACGGTCCCAGCAGCGCTAAACCTGCTCCCTCCCCCACGGTGACCCACATGAAACAGGCTTCGGGACATGATGAATTAGGCCCAGAGCTCCAGCTTCTCTCCTCCACTTCTCCGCTCAGAGCCTCTGCAGAGCCTTGAAAAAACGGTGGAGAGGCTTGGCTCAGCACTAATGGCCGCCACTCACCGACAGATTGTGTGAAATATTAATTGCAATCGAGGGTGGCGTGTTGTCGAGGTGAGCCATGTTTACTGCATACAAATGCATGGCAGAGATCTGTTGTATTGTCCAGTAATTGGACAGTGCGGTGCATGCCCTTGGAGAGAGGACGTGGCTTGAGGTTTTTGGGCTCGCTGACATATGAGGTGCAACAACTCCAGCTGGTTCAATAAAATCAGAAGGAGTGAAAAAAAATGCATTGATCACATCAGTCTGGGTGCAAAGGTCATTTCTGATTTGAGATCTAACACATGTATGCTATAGCTGTGATGATACAAGAGAGGAGAAGATATGCTATATGGCCAAAGCTATATGGACACCCCTCCTGATTATTGAGTTCAGGTGTTTCTGCCAGACCCATTGCTAACAGGTGGATAAAATCAAGCACATAGTCTTGCAGTCTGGACAGACTGAGTGCTGAAGCGCGTAGCATGAAGAAATTCTCTGTTGCAACACTAACTACAGAGTCTCAAACTGCCTCTGGAAGTAATATCAGCACAATCACTGTGTCATCAGGAGCATCATGAAATGAGTTTACATGTCTGAGCACTGGCACACAAGCCTAAGATCACTATGTGCAATGCCAAGCATCAGCTGCAGTGGTGTAAAGCACACTGCACCACCGCTGGACTCTGTAGAAGTGGATATGCATCCTCTGGAGTGACAAATCATGCTTCACTATCTGACAGACTGATGACAGAGATCTGGGTTTGAAGGATGCCAGGAGAAGTCTACCTATCAGAATGTGTAATGCTAACAGTAAAGTTTGGTGGAGAAGGGATAATAGTCTGGGGCTGTTTTTCAGGGTTTTGGCTCAGTCCCTTAGTTCCAGACAAGGTTAATGTTAATACTGCAGCATACAAAGACATTTTACGTATAGTTATATGCTTCAAATTTTGAAGCAAGAATTTGGGGAAAGCCCTTTCCTGTTCCAGCATGAGTGTGGCCCTGTGCAAAGCGAGGTCCGTAAAGACATGGTTTGATGAGTTTGGTGTTGTGGAACCCTGACCTTAACCCCACTGAGCACCGTTGGAATGAATTGGACCGTCAATTGTGAGCCAGGCCTTCTCATCCAACATAAGTGCCTGACCTTACAAATAACCTTTTGACAGAATGGGCACAAATTCCCACAGACACACTCAAATCTTTTGGAAAGGCTTCCCGTAAGAGTGGAGACTGTTATAGCCACAAAGGATGCCAGCTCCATATTAATGCATATTTGACTTGTATTAGGGATTCTAACCTTCTGCAACTGCCCTGCGTAAACTGCAGAAACAGTGGAGAGGCCTCTTTCTGTTATTATACCTCTCAAAGTGTGGAAACTGTACCTTTCACAATTACAGTTGTATGCAAAATTTTGAACACCTCCAGTCAAATAGCATGTTTTGCTGATTTTCTGAATGAAAATAAGTTAACACACCCTCTACACTTTCCTGCAAATTTTTGCACACAATTTCTATTTATTTGCTTTGAGTTTAAGATATTTCATTTTAGTTTATTATTTTCATGTTGTTTGTTTTTGCTTTTGTTTTTTAAAACTGACAATTATTATTATTATTATTATTATTATTATTATTATTAATTATTAATTATAATAATAATAATTATCCTACCTCAATTATATTTTTCTCCTAAAAAATTATCATTTCTGATA